GTGCCCATCAGGGTCTTTCAGAGGGAGGGACAGGTGGACCTTGTAGGAGGCAATTATGACTAACTCCATGGATGGATTAGTCATTTGCTGTCATGAATGGTTGGAGGGATTAATGGGTCAGTGGGTTATCTGGACAGGCTTATTAGCTTAGCCAATAGAAAGGCCACTATCAGATGTAGTCTCTTGACCTTGGACCAGACCATGAAGCCAAATAGACCTCATATCTTTAGAGCTGAGTCTGTGTTACAATATGAGCCATGGAAAGCAGATAGAGATGGAGCAGCACTGGTGTTCAAATGCATCCAATGGGTTCTAAAGTTGAGTTTCCCCTGTTCTGTACTGGGGGAGACAAAGTCCCGGAGGAAAACACCAGGCAAGATCAAGAAAAGCAAGGGCTGGAGGGCTGCGGAGAGCAGATGGGTCTTCATCCAAGAGATCCATGCTTGGGCTTGGCTGCATTTTAGGTACACCCTATGGGCTTTGAACACTTTCAGTGCCCAGGCGCTGTTGCACAAGGTCTGAATCCATGGAACTCTGGTGGGGTCCAGCTCTGGTGGCTTTTCTTGCTTGTAAGATTGATTTATTGATTGGAAGGTCAGAGGCAGACAGAGGGAGAGAGATCTTCCACCTGCTATTTCACTCCCCAGATGTCTCCAGTTACCAGGGCTGGGTCAGACCAAACCCAGGAGCTAGGAGCCTCCTTCAGTTCTCCCACATGGGTACAGGAGTCCCAGCACTTTTCCAACCTCTGCCACTTTACCAGATGCATTAGCAAGGAGCTGGATTGGAAATGGAGCAGACAGGACTTGAACCAGTGTCCATAAGGGATGCCAGTGCCATAGGTGGTGGCTTTACCTACTTTACAACAGTATTGGCTTCAGGCCTGGCGTTTGTCAAGGCTCTCTGAGTAGTTACAAGGTGCAGTCAGATAAGGCCTCTCCACCTAAGAAAAGCAGCTGAATCATTTCCCAGAATAAAGTCCAGCTATTCTAGATTGAGGTCGGAGTGTCTAGCCTTCCCTTGCAGAAACCTGGCATAGGGGAGTGGGTGGTGGAGCTATGTCCCAGGCCTCTCTCCACTCTGTAGTCCAGATGTAGCTTAGAAACCATGCTTTTTAAAAAAATCCTGAAGGGTGAGAAAGAGAGAGAGAGAGGGAGAGAGAGAGAATCTTCCATCTGATTCACTCCCCAAATGACTGCAATAGTAGGGGGCTGGGCCAGGCTCAAGCCAGGAGAATGGAGCTCCATCCGAATGTGCTATATGGCTGCAGGGGTCCAAGCACTTTTGCCATTTGCTGCTGCTTTCCCGGTGCACCAGCAGGGTTTTGAACTGTGCTCTTATGTGGGATGCTGCCATTGCAGATGGCAGCTTTTCCTGCTTCTTGTTTCCCTTTGTTTTTGGACTGAAATGTCTAACCGTGAGATGAGCCTAATTTCGCTGGCCTCAGAATAGGCCCTGGTACAAGACAGGTATCTGGTGGAATATTCCAGAATGGGGCTTCTATCACAGGTTTCCAAACCCTTCTCTATAGCACCTCTGGCCCCCTAACAGCAGTTCTACATGTAGACCCAAGAATACCTGCTTCAAACAGCTCAAGTTGCTCCCCTGCCTGGAGCTCTCCACCTACCAATGAAATACTAGATAGGCCATCTATTTGCACTCTGGCTGTGAGATGAGACTCCCTGGCCCAGTGTCCCTGCCTTGGCTTCAACCCTGGGACTTCTTCCTGATACTTTGCCTGTTAAGCACATTGCCCAGGGAGGGGCCTCAGCTGGTCTTTTGTGTTCTTCATGTGTGTGTGCGCTGTGTCTTTGTGGTAGGTGTGTGCAGACCTGCCCATGAGTCATGTCTCAGACCCAGCCTGGCTTGTTGGGGACATTGCCTGCCCTCTGCCCTTTGCCCTTGGAGAAGACTGCCCATCTGGCTATGGTGGCATGAGTTTCAGGCCTCTCAGCAGGTGACCCCCTTAGGATGTCAGCTGGCAGAAACGCCTTTGTGCTGGGCTAGCAAAGGCAACCAAAGGTGGCGGGCTCATTAGTGGTCATCAGGACTAGCCTCCTCGGCCATGAGAGTGTGTCCCTGCTCTCATCCCAGGTGCTGGAACCTCTCTGGAGGACAAGAGGAGCCTGTGGGAAGCCAGGTAGGCCATTGGATGAGATGGGGACACAGCTATGAATCTGGACTAGCAGAAGCAAAGCAATCTAATTTTATTCCTTTGGGCTGATAAGGCAGACCTAGGTGAAGCAGGAGGAAAAGATGATAGGATACAAAAAAGACTATGGAATCCTCAAGCAGAAACAGTGCCCTTGTCCCCTGCCCCCACCTCTATCCCATTTGTTCAGTGCACCTGCACAGTTCTGCACTATTGTATTATAGGTGCCCATATTCTGCCCAGGCCTGGAGGGTATACAGCCTTCCAGAATTGTTGCCAGCTTAGGCAGTCCCCTGGCTGCTCACCACTGCCTCTTTGTAGATAGGAAGTAAAAACTCAAGACAGAGAGTCTGGCGCATGGTGGACCCCAAGGAAAATGGACTGTTGTCTTCCTCTTGAGTCACAAAAGCTGCCTCATGCCTCACCCATAAGCCCTGTGTGTTTACTGTGACCGTCCCCTCCTGCGTTCACACACCTGTCTCTCCAGGACCACCACTGTGGTAAGCAGGGTTGCCAGAGTCAGCAGCTAAAAATGTAGGGTGCCCAGTTCCATGTGAGGCTCAGACAAAACATGGGGGATGCTTTGGTGTAGTATGTCCCAAAGAATATGCACAACTGTGTCACTATGCTGTCAGTTGTAACGCTGAAACTGCATTTTCCCCTGGGTACTGTGGATTTTACCCTAGCATTTTTTTTTTTTTTTTAACCTGCAATCAGAGTCTGCCTTTCTCCTTCCCAGGGCATTTTCCACAGGGACCTGCTTTTCATGATCCATGAATGGAAGCTTCTACTTTGCACCTATTGGAGGCAAACACCAAAGAAATGGGCCTCATCAATCCAAGCTCACTTGTTTGCCAGCTATAGGGAGAGTTCAAAGATGAGCCTGGCCAAAGAATGATTCATGGGTTAGGCAGCGATAAGACTGAAGAGATGGTCTGAGTTCTGTGCCCAACCACGAGGGCAGGCAATGACGACAGACAAGAAAAGGAAGTGACACACATACATCACGTGATGCTCAGCAGGTGTCTTTGATGGGCGTGGTCTGCTCAGTTGACAGCCTGCAGTTGGCTGAATCTCAGCTTTCCTGATTGGCTGAGATTTAGCCATTGGTCATAAAAATGAACTTATGAGATTGCAGCTTGATACTACTAAGTCAAGTCATATAGTTTATAGAGACTAAAACTATGGAAGCAAGCTTAGGCCATTTTGTTAAAAAAAAAGAATTATTTTTATTTTACTAGAAGAGCAAAGAGACATATCGAGAGAGAGAGAGAGGAGAGAGAGGAGAGAGAGAGATCTTCAACCAACTGGTTCATTTCCTAAAAGCCTGCAACAACCGAGGCTGGGTAAGGCGGGAGTCAGCTACTGGAATTTTATCTGGGTCTCACACACAAATGGCAGGGACTATACTTGAACAATCACCTGCTGCCTTCTAGGAGGCTGGATCAAAAGTAGAGCCTGGATTTGAACCCAGGCACTCTGACATGGGAAGGGACAACTCTGGCGATGGCTTAACTGCTGTGCCAAGACCTGCTCTCTAGGCCAGTTTAATGTAAGTGGCAACTAAGACCTGGTGCTTGACAACATGCCATTGTCTGTGGCATGTGAACAGCTGTCTTAGAGACACCATGGCTGGTGCCTTGTCTCTGAAGAATTCAGGTTCACGATGGAAAAACAAATCCCTTCCCCCAACTGTTTCTTGGCACTGTGAGGATGGGCTGTTCCCAAGGCTTGAGACCCCCTTAAGAGTTTGGGTTCTTGGTGTCTCATGTGCAGGTGTAGATTTCAGTCGGTAACTGGGAAGATGGAGATGCACGCTGTGGGACTTGCCAGGAGGTGGAAGGGACACCCAGCAAACAAGGGGTCTTCAGTCTGGAGGGCACATCACGGACTCCAGGCTGGGCTTTCCAAGGTGCAGCTGCATGGAGCCAGGCCAGCTTGGGTAGGTTTGAGTGGTCCTTAGCATCCTAGGCTATTTCCTAGCCAGGCCCCATTGTGTCCCATCCACATAAGCGTCGTAGCTGTGGCCAGGGTCAGGGTCAGGGTATTCAGAGTGACTCTATCCAGCCTCCTTCTTATCTAAAGAAAGACCCTGCTCTCTCCAGTCCAGGGCAAGATGCTGCCATGTGTATACCCTTTAGTGTTGAAAAGATAATTCTTCAGGATGAACAGGCTCAGGTGCCCATGCCAGCCCATCCTCTCTCCTCCCCACCCCCAGGGACATGGTGCTTTTGGGCTGTGCCCCAGGCATGTCAGCCTGGTGCTATCAGGGATGGCAGCTATGGTCTCCTGTGGGCTTCACAGGCTTTGTTCAACAAGACTCCTGGCCATTGGCACACACCAGTCACATGCCCTTGGAGAAGGGACCATTTTACAGTTGTCTGCATGCTACTCTGCCAGCTTTCAGTGTCAGCTGCTTGGAGAGCTGATGTCCTCGGCATTGCTGCTTTTCCTGGAGTGCACCAATGCCAAGGTCAGTTATGTCCATCCTGTCTCCCTGGGCATATGTCCCCCAACTCCCCAAAGACTTCTCCACCCCTGCCTCTGGAAACAAGTGTCTGAGTCTCTTACCAAAGATTCTCTGGCCTTGCTCATGAAAGTTCTGTCCCAGCCCTAAACCTTGCACAGAGAAGCTTCTGCCACTCTGTCACACTCATGACATTTTATTTTTTTTAAAAAAGAAAAGTCACAGTTACAATAAAACTATGTATGAATCATTCGCATGTCTTTCTTTTTGCTTTTTTCCTCTAGAAACTTTCATTGTGAAAGTCCCTGGGATATAAACGGACCCAGAGGACTGCTGTGACTGCAGTTAAGCAATTGCGGGGAGCTGACCTGTTGGCAGCCATCACTCCAGAATCAGGTATGTGTTGAGGGCTTTGCTCCGTAGGTTCCTCATCTCCTCCAGCACCTTCTCTCCCAGCTTCTCTGTGGGTAGGGCTTGCTCTTTCATGTCTCTGAGTGGCAAAGGATAGAGGAACAGAAGGAGGTGCCGAATAAAACACGCTGGCTGGGGACGGTGCTGTGGCGAAGCGGGTAAAATCGGCACCTACAATGCCAATATCCCATACGGGTGCTGGTTTAAGTCCTAGCTCCTTCACTTCCAATCCAGCTTCCTGCTAATGTGCCTGGGAGGCAATAGGTAGATGGGCCAAGCTCTTGGTCCCGGCTACCCACATTGGAGACCACATGGTGTTACTTCAGCCTGGGCTAACGCCAGCTGTTGTGGTCACGTGGGGAAGGGAACCAGAGGACAGTAAGTCTCTCTCTCTCTGACTTTGAGATAAGTACATAAATAAACCTCTATAAACAAAATATGCAAGTCACCCACTGATGCCCAAGTCTGCCAGTGAAAGCTGGAGGGGTGCACGTCCTAAATACCTACAACTGTAAGGCCTGAGTGAAGCCAGGCAGCTGGCACTACACCTAGATCTTCCACATGGGTGGCAGGGGCCCAACCACTTGGGTCATTCATCTGCTTCTTCCCAAGATGCATGAGCAACATTGGAGGCCAAACAGCCAGGGTTGAAACCGGCATCTCTATATGAGACATGGACATCCCAATGAGCCACTATGCCTGCCCCTTTATTCTTCATCATTTTCTGGATTTTTTTTTAATCAAAGGGCATTTTTTAAGGGAAAAGAGCAAAAATAGGATAGTCAGTTATTTATACTAGAAAAGTATTCCTTAAAGCCAAAAAATGGGGTTTGCTTGGTGGGTGAGTGAGCCCTCAGCGTGGTGACAAAGGACAAAGCTTTTTCTTTTTTTTATTTTCCTTTGACATTTCATCCAGTCCTGACACCTGCAAGAAGCTCAGTCGGTACTGACAAGAACAAGCACATGATGAATGATGAACCAAGGGAACGACTGGTCCCTTGTGCGTGGGTGGGGTCACTGGGCAGACGCACACGTGTAGGTACAGGAAGCATCAGAATACATCGCTTTCCCAGCTTGAGAGTGTTAGAAGCAGACCATGTGGCAGCTCAGACCAACATGTCGTGGGATGCACCTGAGCCCCAGGCTGCCTCTTAAGAAAGCACGAGGATGGGACACTTACTTCTCCTTCTTGATGTCCTTGGGGTCCAGCAAAGGGAATTCGGCTTGGATCATTTCCGGAGTCAGCATGATCTCGATGTGGCGTTCGCAGAGTTCACTGAAAAAAAAAATGCAAGAAGAAGTTTAGTGGGAGCCGTTTTCTTTCCTACTGCAAAAACTAGGACGAAACTCCATGGGCATTTGAGGAGTTACGCAATTCAACATGAGTTCCGTCTACTTTTGCAAAGTCTGCATTCAAAGAAGCACAAGAGTGATAAATTGCCTCCCCCCAGCAGCGGTAGGAACAGTTATTTATAACCGAGGAGAAGAAATGATTTAAAAAATAAAACAGGGCTACTGAGCTCATATTCAGGTACACTGTGACCGTTTACCAAAACTGACTGTATCCTGGGCTGTAGGGAAAGTCCCAAACTAGTTCTAAAGCCAGAGGTCACTCAGCCAAAATGAGATTAGGAGCAAAATCAATAGCAAAGAATAACAGAATGAAGCAATTTTCTTTTTTTTTTTTTTTGTGAAGATTTGTTTATTTTACTTGGAATTCAGAGTTATAGAGAGAAAAGCAGAAACACACAGAGAGAGAGATATCTTCCATTTGCTGGTTCGCTCCTCAAAGGGTCATAAAGGCTAGAGCTTGGCTGATCTGAAGCCAGGAGCCAGCAGCTTCCTTTGGGTCCCCCACATGGGTGCATCTCATTCATATGAGATGATGGCGCCACAGGTGGAGGATTAGTAGTTATGCCACCATGCCAGCCACAAAGCAATGGATTTCTAAATAATCTCTGGAGAAGAAAAAAAAATAAAGGGCTCTAGTTTTTAAAAAATCTTTCTGTAGATTTTTACTACAACAGGGGTCACCATGGGTCCTGTGAGATCTCTGTTATGATACTTAGTGTTGCTGTAGTGGTGCGAAAGGAATCACAGATGATATGGCAATAAATGCAAGTGGCTGCATCACAGTGAAATTTTCTTTCTATACACAAGTGACAGGCCAGACTTGGCCGGTGGTCACCTGCGTGTGGCCTGGAGCTTTGCTGACTGGTAGCTGAAGCTGGGTCAGTGCTTGTTGGGGTCTCAGAGTGTAGGGGGCTGGAGGGTAAGTGCGGAGGACACGGATGTACTTTGCTAAGAGTCTCGAGCTCACAAGACTTCCAGTGTGCTGACATCCTATTAACAAAGGCCACACCAGGAATGAGGAGCTTCTTCCACATGGGTGGCAGGGGTCCAACAAGTTGGCCCGTCCTTCACTGCTTTCCTAGGTATGTCAGCAGGGAGCTGGATGGGAAGTGGAGCAGCCAAGGCTCGAACCCGCACTCCAACACATGCTTAACCTTGCTGCGCCACTGCCTTGCCACACACATTTGACCGCAGCTGCCTATGCAAGGCTAACACAAGCAAGATACGCTTCTGAGATGGACAGAGGCACAGAGCTCCAGAGGCTGAAGCGAAGCTGCTGGTTCCTTGTGTTTTGATATTAACGCTAATACTGCATCAGCATTGGCTTCCCGTCTTTAGCTCTGACGACTAATTGTACGGTGACTGCTCCCATTGCGTTGATGCAGAAACTTAATTGCAGTAGGTTGCACATCATTGTTGGGTGGAGGGGTGTCAGTTGGCTGTACTTTAATTTCCATTGCAGGTCCTTCTTTCCACCCTCCCAGCAGGCTGGGCCAGATAGACTTGTTCTGGAGAACCCGAAGTCCAGGCATTGTTTCAGGTAGCAGGTGAGAGTGGAAGGCACTTCCTTTTCCTGTCAGCACTCCAACCTCAAGAAGCTCGTGCAACCATGCATAGCAGTGGGCCTTAGAAGATCTGAGCATCCTATGTTTCACACAGTTGGGGTTTCACTGACGGATCATGTGCATCTGAAATGTGCTAAGAGACTGGATAGGAGGAAGCGATTGAAACAGTGAGGGACAAGCACTGATCATGGCGTATCTTGCCTGGAAGATGCTGCGCCTGTTGTAGACCATTTCCAATGAGTACAGAGCCAGCCGAAGGTGCTGTAGAATGTGGCTGGACTGGGAACAGGAGCATTTGCAAATAACAAAGCTGGCAGTGCAAGCAGAAGGGAGGCTGTCAGAAGACAGATCTCCCCATGGCCTTGACCAACCTGGCTCTTGTTTGCCATTCTTGGGCAGAAAGTATCAACTGCCAGGCTCTTCTGGGCTAACTGTGGGATCCTTTCCCCACACATGCTCTGCCATCGCTATCCTCAAGCCCTGCCGGATGTAAATTAATGGAACCGCCTGACCTTGGATCATGAGCTTCCAAACCCAGCAGCCAATAGCCACCTCTTTTCCTTTTCCACGTCTTTTTCCACAGCTTATCCAAGCTTATCCAAGCCATCTCTTTGTGGTATCAGAAGACTGAATGGCACAGTAGAGATTTGGTTTTCCAAAGTCATTGCGAACGGTCCCTGAGACCTTGCTATGTGTCGGGTGCCTGGCTACACACTTTTGCCTGGATTCCCTCATTTGCTTTTCACAGTCACCTGTGAGACGCATCCGGGGCTTATTCTATTTTAGAAGCGAGGATATGGAAGTGCTGAGAAGTGACACTACTTGCCCAGAGTACACTGAGAGTGAATGGCGAGGAGGGTGTAAACTCACAGCCTGTACCCCTTACCACTACACTGCACAATAGCTTGAGTTCTTCATACTCATGTTCATGAGCTCTAACTTTTTTTTTAAAGATTTATTTTATTTTGATTGGAAAGGCGGATATACAGAGAGGAGAGACAGAGAGGAAGATCTTCCGTCCGATGATTCACTCCCCAAGTGAGCGCAACGGGCCGATACTATGCCGATCCGAAGCCAGGAGCCTCTTCCGGGTCTCCCACACAGGTGCAGGGTCCCAAAGCTTTGGGCCGTCCTCAAGTGCTTTCCCAGGCCACAGGCAGGGAGCTGGAAGGGAAGTGGGGCTGCTGGGATAGAACCGGCACCCATATAGGATCCCGGGCGTGCAAGGCGAGGACCTTAACCACTGTGCCATCGCGCTGGGCCCTAACTTTTTAAAAAAGAGTTATTTGAAAGGCAGAGCATCAGAGAGAGAGAGAGACAGAATTTTTCATTTGCTGGCTCACTCCTGAAATAGATCCAACAGCCAGGAATGGGCCAGGCTGAAGCCAGGAACCAGGATCTCATCCAGGTCTCCTACATGGGTACAGGGACCCAAGCACTTGGCCCCTCCTTTGCTGCTTTCGCTGGCACAGTAAGAGGGAGCTGGATTAGAAGTGGAGCTGCCGGGCCTGGCACGATGGTGCAAGTGGTTAAGGTCCTCGCCTTGCACGCCCGGGATCCCATATGGGCGCCGGTTCTAATCCTGGCAGCCCCGCTTCCCTTCCAGCTCCCTGCCTGTGGCCTGGGAAAGCACTTGAGGACGGCCCAAAGCTTTGGGACCCTGCACCCGCGTGGGAGACCCGGAAGAGGCTCCTGGCTTCGGATCGGCATAGCATCGACCGTTGCGCTCACTTGGGGAGTGAATCATCGGACAGAAGATCTTCCTCTCTGTCTCTCCTCTCTGTATATCCACCTTTCCAAAAAAAACATAATAAAAATAAATCTTAAAAAAAAAAAAAAGTGGAGCTGCCATGGCTTGAACCATTGCTGATACGGGATGCTGGTTGTGTTGCAAGTGGCAGCTTAACTTGTTGTGCCACAGTGTGAGCTCAAGAGCTTATATTTCAATTCTTTTTTTAAATTAAAAAATTTTTTTATTTTAGGATTTTAATTGTGTTTTCTCTTTTATCGGAAAGTTGGATATACAGAGAGGAGAAGAGACAGAGGAAAAAGATCTTCCATCTGCTGATTCACTCCCCAAGTGGTCTCAATGGCTGGAGCTGGGTCAGTCCAAAGTCAGGGGCCAGGAGCCTCTTCCAGGTTTCTGTCCTGGAGGCAGGGTTCCAAGGCTTTGTGCCATCCTCAACTGCTTTCCCAGACTACATCCAGGGAGCTGGATGGGAAGCGGGGTCACTGAGACACAAACCAGTGCCCAAATGGAATTCAGGCATGCGCAAGACGAGGACTTCAGCTACTAGGCTACTGCACCAGGTCCATTTCTTTTCTTTTTTAAAAAACTAGATTTATTTATTTGAAAGGCAGAATTTATGAAGAGAGCGAGTGATACATAGAAGTCTTCCATCTGCTGGTTCACTCCTCGGATGGCCACGATGGCCAAGACTGGGCCAGGCTGAAGCCTTATCCAGATCTCTCATGTGGGAGAGCATTTAGGCCATCTTCCACTGCTTTCCCAGACACATAAGCAGGGAGCTGGATCAGGACTGGAACTGGGACCCAAATGGGATACTGGCTGTGAAGGTGGTGCCTCTACTTGCAGTGCCACAACGCTGGTCCCACCTTTTTAATTCTGTCCAAACTCCCCCCAAAATGTCCGCATGATCATTGATATCTTCCACCCCTGTCAGTGTCACTAGAGCTCCCTTTGCTTGAGCTCCTGGGGGCCCCTAAAGGGAGCAGACATCAGCCCTGGGGGTTGCCCATTCTCCATCTGGTGTTTAAGCAGGGGCTGGTATGGCTGTGTGTCAGGTGCCACACATATTACACATTGCATATTATCGGAAAACATATTATAGCAGAGGAGCAAAGGCTAGGGTCCTACCGTTCTTCGGCCTCTAGTCTGTCTTCTTCAGGCAAGGCATCCAGCGCGGTGGGCACGCCCACAGGGAGCATCACCGAGTTGAAGGCATCAGAGCTGTGGAGAGAATCACATTGGTAGCAAAGTGTCAGCGGTCATCTTTGCAGCCTGGACATCCTTATGGCATTTTCTTTTCTTTTTTCAATTATGAGAGAGAGAGAGAGAGTCAGAGTCTGATTGAATGCCTACAACAGGTGGGGACAAATCCAGAAAACAGGGGCCCCATCCCAGGTCTCCCATGTGTGTGGCAGTGATCCAGGCTACTGGAGCCATCCTGTTTGTCTTCCCAGGGTCTGCCTGGGTAGGAGCTAGAGCTGGGGCTTGAATCCAGGCCCTTAGGGGCATGGGCATCTAGAACACTAGGTCCATTGCCCACCCCGGTATCACTCTCCAAAGCATTCCTATGCTGCTGCAGGTGAGGGTGCTGTGGCTCCATCCTCCCTTGCTCCTGACGCCCCCCTCTAGCTTCCAGAGAGGCAAGGGCAAAGGCAGGAGAATGATGTCCAATAGGGCCTTATTCTGGAGTGCACAATAAGAGCTTCTCAGCTGGGAGAGCCCACGGTTGTATTTTCTGGATGGGAAGGGGAGGCGCTTTAGGTAATTAGATCTTGGTTCTTAGTTATTTCCTCCCTGCATTTACACTCTTCTTGGCCACTCTGTTCAGCTTCAAAACTTCCTTCCCATCCCTGAATATACTGTTTGATTTTCTCATGCTGAAACTTACTGAGATAGGGGGAAATATTATTGTAAAGGCTAGCCCCGTCTGAAAATGGAATGAACATTGCTTTTCTGGTCTCCATTGTTTCCTTAAATGCCTTTCAAATGATATTAAAAGGATAAAAGATGAGCTGTGCAACAGCAAAGAGAACAAGGCCATCAGAGGATAACAATTTCCAACAAGACTATGGGAGAGATTTCTAGAAGCTTGGAAGACAGATTGCTGTGTCAAGCTAACAAGTAAAGGATGACAAGCTGGGGCTAACATGGAGAGAGCTGGCCTTTCTATTTGGGGTTCTTCTGCTTGTTCACACTCAGGGTGTTATTAAAAAAAGATTTATTTTGCTTTTATTTGAAAGGCAGAGTTGCAGAGGGGGGCAACTGATTGAGAGAGAGGAAGAGAAGGGAAGGGAAGGGAAGGGAAGGGAAGGGAAGGGAAGGGAAGGGAAGAGGAGAGAAGAGGAGAGGAGAGGAGAAGAGAGGAGAAGAGAAGAGAAGAGAAGAGAAGAGAGAAGAGAGCTTTCATCTCTTGATTCACAAATGGCCACAATGGCTAGAGCTGAGCCAGGCCAAAGCCAGGAGCCAGGAGCTTCTTCTGGGTCCCCCACGTCGGGGCAGGGGCCCAAGGCTTTGAGCCATTCTGCTGCTTTCCCAGGCTACAAGCAGCGAGTGAGATCAGAGGGGGAGCAGCCTACAACATGAACCAGTGCTCATATGGGAAGCTGGAGTCGCAGAAGGCATAGTCTACTATGCCACGGCACTGGCCCAGACATGCAGGATTTTTTAGCTAAGTCTCTCACCCTTGTGCGAAAAAGCACCTGTTGAGGGCTTGCATTGTAGTGTAGTGGGTTTAGCTACTGCCTGCCGCATTGGCACCTCACATGAGTGCCAGTTGGAGTCCCAGCTGCTCCATGTCTAATCTTGCTCCCTGTGAATACACCTGGGAAGGCAGTGGAAGACATCCCAAGACATCCCTGTCACTCAGACAGGAGATCTGGAGGGAGCTTCAGGCTCCTGGCTTCAGCCTGGTTCACTCCTCGCTATTGCAGCCATTTGTGGGGGGTGGAGGGGTGAACCTGTGGGTGAAATCTCTCTCTCTCTAACTCTGCCTTTCTAATAAACAAATCTTTCAAAAATGCACCTGTTGGTCAGTTGTGGAGGTTGACTGAAAAGAACTCTGGCACTACAGTGTTTACGGATGGAAGAGAATCTGAGGAACAGAGGTATGAACTGAGGCAGGCTGATAAAAGGAGACACAATTGAGTAAAGACAAACAGAACCAATAGAGAAAAGCATATCCGGAGTGCCATCGTTCATAGAAGGGAAAATAAGAAAAATCCACTGATTCTGCTAAGACCTCCACAGCCATGTACATGACCAATTTAAGCTGGTTGTTTGCAACAATGGATGGGGAAAAAAGGTTGTGAACAAGTTGGGGGAGAAAAATGCCTCCCCAGGTCTGTTTTTTTGTGTAGTTTTGAGTTTGGGGAACTAGTGTTTGGAACAGTCAAAAGATGAAATCACTAAGACAGAAAAATAGAAGTTAGACACTGAATTCAAATGCAAACAATATTTTGCCTGAAGTCCATATTCACACTAAATGGAAAACAAGTAGAAACACAGAGAGTGAGAGCAAGGAAGGAGGGATAGAAAGAAGAGAAGGAGGGAGGGAGAAAAGAAGGAAGAAAGAGAAGGAATCCCAGTATTTTTTTTTAAAAGATATATTTATTCTTATTGGAAAGTCACATTTACAGAGAGGAGGAGAGACAGAGAGAAAGACCTTCCATTTGCTGGCTCACTCCCCAAGTGGCCACAATGAGCCAATCCAAAACCAGCAGCCAGGAGCTTCTTCTGGGTCTCCTACACAGATGCAGGGTCCCAAGGCTTTGGGCCATCCTCAACTGCTTTCCCAGGCCACAGGCTCAGGGAGCTGGATGGGAAGTGGAGCAGCTGGGATACGAACCAGCACCCATATGGGATCCTGGCATGTGCAAGGTGAAGGCTTTAGCTACTAGGTTACCGTGCCTGGCCCTGCAGTATTTGTTTTATACTCACAGTCCTGAAATGGAACCCCTGTTCAAGTGTCCTTAAAACCAAGGGTAGTACCGGGACCCAGCTTCCCACACTTAGCCAAAGCATCTTTTTTGTTGTTGTTGTTGTTCTGTCCTTCTGGAGCAAAAGGAGCTTGCTGAACTGAAAGAGTGATAGAGCTGGCCCTACGGGGCTCTAATTACTGGACTCAAGGAGTCATTTGCTTCTGACTAGATAAAATCTGCTTGGCCAGTGCTATCCAGAGGGGTTTGTGGAAGGGAATTCCAGGTGTGGGGCAGAAGGTAATTGCCACCTGCATGTAAGCCCATTCCTCCCAAGACCAACTGGAGTCTACCTGGCCATTCTAAAAAAAAAAAATCCCTAAAGAGTGTGGCATCACTGTCCAATGAAAGGGTGATCACAAGCAGCCAAGCGGGCACTTGGACATGAGCTGACGATGGACCACTCAGCACCAACTTCAGCCCATAAGAACCTTCACCCCTTCTCCTTGGGAATCTGGGATCCAGAGCTGGCCACCCAGCTCTTTGCTCTGCATCTTGCAATACATACATATTTTCTTCCACCTCCCACAAGCTAGTGATTTTTTTTTGCATGCTGGGCAAGCAGATTCAGGTTTGGGGGTTCTACAGAAACCCCTCCAGCTAGGTTTTGGTAGAGAGGGTGGTTCTGCACTAGCTCTGGCCAGCAGAGGAGTCCAGGGAGAACTTCAAGGAAATGTGTTTCTTGGGTTTGTGGCCTACAGTGTCTGTGGATGAAGCAATTCTGAAACGACTTTCAATGTGTAATAAAATTGAGTAAGTCGATATGTTGAAGCCAGTACACTCCCAGTGGAAACAGGAGTGTCCTGAGGACATACTGAGTGGAAAGCAAGCAGTGGGGCTGTAGCTCTGCATGGATCCACTGCTGCTAGAATATGCATATAGAGAAGTGTGTTTATGTATGTGTGCGTGTGTGTACACAGGCATGTAGGGATCTTTGCATGTATGTGTGTGCATGCTCACCTGTGTGGGCCTCCTGATTTGACTGCTGAGGAGGCCAAGAACAAAGACACTCCAGTAGCAATGAGCACATCCAGCACTCAGATTTTGGTCTTTAATAATCCCACTCACCACTAAAACAGGCTCTGGAGCGAACCCTTCTTGCTGAGCTCATGATGGGGAACATAGGCTCGCCCTGAGAAGTCCTATGGACCTATAGAATGCATGGGATCAGGGCTGGGGCAGTGGCTTGGGGGGGGGGTTGTGCCAAGAAGAAGGACTGAGAAGCCCGAAGGTGGGCCCCTCTCCAGAGAAGAGATGTCTGTGCAGACTAAACAGGGACAGCCAAGAGCTGCTCACCAGACGAGCTCAGCCAATTCTAAATCACGAGACCAGATTCTTTCTACTTTTCAAATCTTGGGAAATGGAAGTGGTGATGACAGCAGATGGCGGTTGGGCAAATTTTTTTTCTTTTTGCTTGTTTTCTTGTTATTATTTAAATACTTATGCTCATTTTAGTTGAAAAGCAGAGCAATGGCCAGACAGGGATATTCTATGTGTTATTGTCTCTTTGAACACGCTTAACAGCAGAAGTAGGGGAGATGGGAGTTGGGGATGAGGAAGGTGGGTGGGGGGAGGGCTTGACCATACTAAATCCAGGAAACTACAACCCCATCTGGGTTCTCCCACATGGGTGGCAGGCACCCAAGAGCTTGAGCCATCACCTGCTGCCCCCAGGAGTGCATATCCTCAGATAGCTGATTGGAAGGAGAGGTGGAACTTGAATCAAGCACTGTGCTACAGGGCGCAGTGGCCCACTGAATTGCTTAAGTACTGCACCGAATACCTCCCTCCCTTAACAAAACTGACAACCTAAGTGAGTCTCCAACATTTTCCACTGATCCATAAAATCCTAAAGTTTGGGAACTGCTGGACTAGAAATTGCTTCTTATAATCTGGTGGAGTGGGAAGCCAGAGCTCACTGTAAGCCTACGTGTGTGTGGCAGGCACCCAGTTAACTGAGCTGTTACCACTGCCCCCAAACACCTGCATTAACAGTCATCAGGAGTGGGGTGAGGTGTCAAACCCAAGTACTGCGACACGGGAGTCAGGCTTCTGAACTGTCAGGCCAAATCCCGACTCCTAAGCAGCTCCCTTCACTACTGCTAACTCGGGTTTTCTAGAAGCCCACAGACACCCAACCAATGGTCTTGCTTTACTGAAGAGAATAAAATGCTGAGCTGCTTCAGTGCTGTTTGAAGACCAAGAAGACTTGGAATAATCACTGAAGCCTGGGCTGTGTGGCTTCACTGCAAAGAGCTCTTGGGGACAACAGGTGTAAGGAAGAACCTCGGAGGGAACAGGAACTCATTTAACAGGCTGGGAAGTGGTCACATTGTGAATGGGTTTGTAGGCACATGCTAGGGACTGAACTCCTGCGCTCTCCCTAGTCCTGATCCTATTATGGATATGTTGGGAGGGGTAGAGCTTTGCAGAGGTGGTCAGGCAGTGAGGGAGGAGCTCTCTTGAATGGCATGAGTGCCCTCATGTAGGAAAGAGGCTCAGAAAAATGCCTTCCTTTTCCTATCACGAGAAGACACTGAGAAAAGCTGGGGATGTCAAGGCTGAGGCCACTGACATCCGGAAGTGTCAGTCATGAGTATGCATTGTTTGGAAGCCACGTGGTCCGTGGCCTATTGTTCCAAGTGAAGACAGGACTTTCACAGAGGGCATTAGCATCCTGGCACTGTGTGTAGTAAGAGCCACACATGGCCTGGAATGGGATCTGCAGTGGGCTTGGCATCCTCCCTGTAGCTCTTGAGTTGTGAATTGGTCCCACAGAGCCTACAGGGGCAGGTACAGGTGCAGGTGCAGGAAGTGCCAACTCAGGTGTTGGGAGGTGGTTCTTGGTTCCTGTAGAATCCATGGTATCTGGAGCCCAGGAGAGTTGCATGCTCATCTATGGCTCACTACAAGGATAGCCTGGGAGATGGGTACCAGGCCCATGCTTCGGAAAGCATTCAGATGGTTGTCTTTCTTTTCAGCCCTCGTGTCCCATCGTGATGCCCTAAGCCCATCCAGTCTCCCGATGACAAAGTTTATCAATGACTTGGGGCCATGTTGAAGTGTCCTGTCTCTATGCCCACCATGTTGGGGGGGGAGGGTGTGTGAGGCCAGAAGTCTCATTTGGACATTTTTGCTACAGTCCTCACTGCAGCCTAGGGAAGACCCCATTGCCCACCCCTCTCTCCACCAACCCCATGTTTGCCAGGAAACCACTGCTTAGGGAATTGTAGCAGTAAATGACTTGCCCCAGGGCAGAGCGGGTGCCCATGGGGTTGTGCTGCCACCTCTGAAGCCACAACTTTCGTGATGTCTACAATGCTGTTGGCTTTGGCAGCTTCAAATTTTATGCTAAGACAAAGAACACAGAGGATGAAGCAGGGTGAACAAGGCATACATGAATTCCCAGGAAAGAGGCTGATATATTCAAGTGCTTATCATGTTCCAAATCCTACACTGTGTGCTGTATTTATGATTTTTTAAAAAATATTCGAGGAATCATGAGCCAGAGAGAAGAGAGAAACACCCCTCTCTCTAATCTGTATTTCTATCTAAAGATCTCACCTGCGGCTTCATTCCCTAAGTGCCTGTGACAGAGTAGTATGCAGCCAAGAATAGCTTCGCTGGGGTCTTCACTGCTAGGCAAAATGTAAGGTGCTTTTTTTTTTTTAAAGATTCTCTTATTTATTTGAAAGGCAGAGGGAGAGAGTGAAGAGCGGGAGAGAGAGAGAGCACAACAGAGATCTTTCATCTGCTGTTTTAGTCCCCTAAAGGCTGCAATGGTCAGAACTGGGCCAGTGTGAAGCTAAGAGCCAGGAACTCTATCTGGGTCTTCCATGTGGATGGCAGGGGTCCAAGCACTTGGGACATCCTCTGCTGCTATTCCAGCTGCATTAATGGGGAGTTGCATTGGAAGTGGGATAGTCGGGACTCTAACTGGGGCTACTGTGTGGGATTTTGGCATCACGAATGATGGCTTAACCACTGCTGCATGATATTGGCTCTACTGGGTGCTTTTTTTAAAAAAATCTCTTGCTAACCTCTAAGCAAGGATGGTGGCAGAGAAACACTAAGCAAAGAATCCACAGGGAATGTGCACAGAGAAGATTCTGGAAGGAGGCTGCACATGGTCTCATTTAGGGAGCATTCTTCCTGCTGGAGATGAAGGTCCTTTGGTCCCAAGCTGGAGGCTGACTGTCTCCTCTATCACCTGGGGAGAGGTAGGTGGGCAGTGAGTGTGTCTGGGGTATCGCTTGTACTCCTACTCCAGTAAAAATGCCAGGCCTGAGTAGTACAACCTGACTGGTGAACAGGCACAGAGAGGTGATGAAGGAGCTCGGCTCAGCCCCATCCTGGGCCGTGAGATTTGAACTCAAAGTGACAGCCCATGATAATCATGGTGGAACACTGCTCATGTTTGCCCACTTGTCGTTTCGCTTGCCCTCTGCTTGGTCTGAGGAGGAAGAGGAACCCTGGGAATTGGATGTGGAGGGTGTGAAAAGCTAATCTTTGGAAATTCACAAAGTTTAAAAACTGACCATGAGTATGTATTTCAGTGGAATCATGCTGATTGGTTATCGACTTTCCCTGGAGCACTGTCAACTAGCCATGTAATTATTTTTTGGAAAAAGCATTTTCATTGAGGTAAATTGAAAATAGCAAACTCAGTTATCAATGATTGTATTCTCTGATGGATAAACTTCCTTCATGCTTTTGTTAATATTTTTTTGAAAAAAAAATTGAAAATTTATATTGATAGGTGGGTAGAGAAAAAGAGAGGGAGAGTGTGTCTTCCATTTACTAGTTCACTCCCCAAGTGCCTGCAACAGCCAGAGCTGGGCCAGGCTGGCAGGGACCCAACTACTTGAACCATTGCCGCCACCTCCTAGAATATGCAGTAACAGGAAGATGGGATGTAATGAGGAGCTGGGTCTTGAACCCACAGTCCAAGACGGAATGTGGGCATTCTACTCAGGAGCTTAACTATTAGACCAGACACCTGCCCCTCCCTCATGCTTTCCAAGTTTGATCTGATGTGCTGTTGGCAATGACTTTTTGGAAATCATGGCCTTAGTGAGCTGACACAGACAAGCTGCATCTTACCTCTGAGTCGTCTCCAGCCTAGACCCATCCAGCAGGGAGGGGAGGACCAGCAGTGGGGACTGGAACTTCTTCCAGTGCATGACTCCGGGGATGATGTCCTATAACGGAAGCCAGCACAAAGGCACTGCATGCGAGGGCATTGTCAAGGTTAGGAACGATTCCCAGTGTTAGTCACACAGCTCATTTCTCAGCCCTGAAAGGTGATCTCCAAAATGTAAAATCTCGTTGTGCCCGAGTGAATTCTCTGTAAAACCAAAGGCTCTTGACTCGAGCAAACCAATGGTAGACAAAGTAGTAGCAGTGTTGTTGCTGTTTGCTTCATCAGCCACACAGGTGACAGGTGTCTCGGAAGGCAGGTGTGGCCCTGCAGCACTGTGGCTGCTGTGCCAGTGCGTCTTCATAGTAGGGATGGGTGGTTTGTGGGATGGTCTCCCAGGAAGGGAGAACTAAGTGTGTGAGTGGAGGAGAGTCAGCAGGCCTCATGCTGTCAGGGGACACTGGCTGGAATAGGTGTGGAAGAGGGGTGAGGAGGGACAGGCCCCCCGAGGACCCTGGGGGGCAAAGGTCAATAAGCTTGGAGTCACTCAAGGAACCCATCTGGGGTTTCAAGCAGGAAACCGCATGATCAGATTTGTGTGGGAGGACAAGAGTGACTTGGAATAGCCAGGTCAGGCTGGTCCCCGTGGCTGGAAGAAGGAATTCTTCAGAGCCACTTTCTTGCTGTGGGCATTTGTCACCTTGTCCCCTTTTCCACACTGCTGAACCACAAAGGCAGGAGATCCGATCATGGGGCCAGGCACACCATATGGTGGCATTCCCGGGGCTAGAATTGTGAATGATGGGCATTCGGAATGGCCTTCCAGAGGAATAAATGGGGAACATGAGGCAGCATTAGCCTGCAGGCTGTGTGTATGTTTGGGTGGGGAGGAGTGGATAGGATGCCAGGGTCTTCCAAAGGTGTGAGAGCACCCGAAGCTGTTCTGGCTGTTTCTACATTTTTCCTAACCATGCCCCTGTAGGGTTGGCAATGCCATGGTGGCGGTGGCTGTCATCCTCCGAGGCCTGGTTCTTGTCCCCACCACCTCTCCACCCTGCTGTGCATCCCAGGGCTATGCCAGGGCGCTACCGTATGGTGAAGAAACTGCCTCTGGGTGAAAGGAATGCTGGAGCCTTCGTGGAACTCCTTGGTGACCTTGTACTTGGGGTGACAGCACAGGTGGTAATCTATCAGCGTCTCCGTGTAGCTCAGAGGGTGCATCACCGCAAACAAGCCTGGGTTGGGATTCTGCAGGAGGGAAAGAAAATCGTTCTTTTCGGTTGATGGGTCTCTAGTCAGGCTTGGGTCAGGTGTCAGCTGGCACTCTCTGGGGCTCCTACTTGTGAGGACAAGAGAGGAAGCCTGTTCCTCTTTCTGTGCCACGCTTCCCGTCTCCAAGCTTCCTTGCATTTAAGACTTACTGAGCTCACACAGGAGAGGGGGGCGCCAATGTGACTGAGTTGGCTCTCAGGGCAGGCTACTTTCGGCCAGGATGACTCAGCAGGGGTGCTATTGAATAAGCAAGCTGGTTTTAAGAGGTAAATTAACTTCTGGTTTGGAAAAGGAAAATAGCTTCCTGGAAACTGACTTTAAGGATCCAACAGAGGAGAGGGTGACATCTGATAGGCTTGGAAATGACAGCATCTAATTCAGTTTGGGTAATATGCTTTTTTTTTTTTTCTAATTTAGGAAGGTTCAGTCGGATGTGATATCTGGTTTTAAGAAAGATCCTGTTTTTGGGTAACTAATTTTCTAGCAGGACCAATGGAGTCACAGAGCAATTGCATCAAGATGTTAGACTACAGAACCTTTTAATGTTCTATCCAGAGATGGCCCAACAAATGCCCAACTTGTGCCTAAGCAACAACATAGCTTTCCACTCTTACTCTCATTTAATCTTAGGTGCTTCAGAGTCACCAAGCTGGGGTTTTGTTATTTGAATTCTCAACATAATTTTTTTGAAAAGTTTGAGAGGCAGATAGAGAGGTTTGTTGCAGATTTAGTTCTAAGTGTTTCATGCTGGAAATGCTACTGTTAGGTGATAACAATTTTTACAACTTGAATTTCAGCTTGTTGCTGGCACAGAGATGGGGATCCTGAGCCTGGCCATCTTGTTAAGCTCATTTACTGGTCTTACTGCATTTTTTTTTTCCCTTTTTGCAGAGAGCAAGTAGATGCTATTGTATGAGGATCCTTTGGGTCTGGCATGATGGCTCAACTGGCTACTCCTCCACCTGCAAGTACCTGGATCCCATTTGGGTGCTGGTTTATATCCTGGCTGCTCCACTTTCAATCTAGGTCCCTGTTAATATGTCTGGAAAAGGATGTCCATCATGGCCTGAAACCTTGGACCTCACACCTATAGAGACCCAGAAGAAGCTCCTGGCTTCAGATTGGCTCAGCTCCAGCCATTGTAGCCATTTTGGGAGTAAACCAGCAGATGGAAGATTTCTCTCTCTCATTTCAGTAAATCTGCCTTTCAAATAAAAATAAATAAGTCTTTTTTAAGTATCCTTCAAGTTTGTGGCAAAATGCAATTGAATGATAAGTTCATTTGGGCAGGAAGATGCTTTAGAGGACAAGAATTAAATCTGATGTGAGTTATATGGTTTTGAGCTAGTATTCTTATTTATTTCAAAGGTGGGCAGGGGAGAGGGAAAGAAAGACGCCATGTATTTTTTTATACCCCAAACGTTCATAATGGCAGGGCTGGGTGAGGTTGAAGCCAAGAGCCAGAAACTAAGTCTTGGTCTCTCTCGTGGGTGGTGAGGGTCCAACTGCTTGGGCCATCTCACTGCTGCCTCCCAAGTGCGCATTAGCAGGAAGCTGGACTCAGCAGTGGAGACAGGCCCTGGACCTACGTTCTCTGATATGGGATATGGGTATTCCTAGCAGTATCTTTTTTTTTAAAAAAAAAATTATTTATTTTTATTTGAAAGGCAGATTAAGAGAAGAAAGAGAGAAAGATCTTCTATCCTCTGGCCCACTCCCCAAAGGACTAAAATGGTCAGAGGTGAGCCAGTCCAAAGCCAGGAGCCTGGAGCTTCTCCTGGATCCTCCACATGTGGCAGGAGCCCAAGCACTTGGGCCATCTTCTGCTGCTTTCCCAGGCACATTAGCAGGGAGCTGGATTGGAAGTGGAGGAACCAGGACTTGAACAGTGCTCATATGTCCATATGGGATGCCAGCACAGGTAGATGCTTAACTAGCTGGGTCACGGTGCTGTACTCTCCACCGCTTTCCCTAGCTGAGTCCTAACTGCTTAATCCAGCTGGTAGCACTTGAATGGATGCCCCTTGTTAGGTTGACAATAGTCCCTTCTGTGCCTTGCTGGCCAGGAGAGAGAGAGTCAGGAACAGATGTCAGATCATTTTTCCGGACCTACTGTTCTTCCTGTTGACTCTGTTAATATGTGAATGACACTGGCATTTAGACATTAAACTAATGTTGTAGTCTTGGCACAGGCCCTGATTAGCTCAGGACACATTGTCCTGTTAGCCATTATGATGGATCTGATGTGTTAATGTTTGGTTACACGTTTTTCCTCTGTGTTCATAAAGGATACTGTTGTGTACTTGCCCTGTCCCATTGCATCTGGCTGTGATAGGAGAGTAACACAAGCTTCTACAATGTGCTGGTTAAATAATCACTCCTCTTCCATTCTCTACTATTTCTTCTTTCAAGTGCTTGGCAGCATTCCCCAGAAATCCAATATCTAACAGACAGAGAGCTGTTTGAATGGCTTATCTCCTAGTAAGAGTTCGGAATCGGTGTTTCTTGGGTACTTTGTGAACTGGAGTTGTTGAATTTCCTGGATCAAGGTTTTCACTCTATTAATATATTATTATTATTATTATTATTTTTAGTTTCTGCAAAATTTGTGGTCATGGCACCTTCCTCATTCCTGATTCTGGCAAGTTCTGTCTTGTACCTCTTTTATGATTAGTTAGGTTAAAAGTTTATCCATTTTATTGATTGTGTTAAAGAGCCAGTTTTTCTCTATTGCTTTTTTTTTTAAAGTTTTCCATTTCATTAATTTTAAACTTGATCTTTTATTACTATTTCTTTTCTCTGCTTAGTTTGGGTTTCATCTGATCTCCTTTTCCTAGTTTCTTAAAGGGACAGCTTAGGACATTAGGACAGGGCAAGTACACAATAATGTCCTGGCTTTGGGCTGGCTCATCTTCTTGCCTAATGTAGGCATCTGTTGTTACACAAAAAGACTTCAAAAAGTTTGTGGAAAATGTAATTAAAAGATAATGATTTTAAAAATACAAGTCTTATTTCTCAGCATCAACTCCATCAAATCCAAGACGCTTCTGCAAGTGATGACACCAGAGTTTTAGACTATCCCTAAAGATCTGAGGGTCCCAGGAATTTATTATGTCAATACAGTCTTTTTAAAAAATATTTATGTATTTAAAGATTTAAGATTTATTTATTATACTTGAAAGAGTTACAGAAAGAGAGTGACAGAGATTTCCCAAATGCTGGTTCACTCCCTAAATGGCTGCCACAGCTGGCCAGACCTGGACTGGTCTGAAGCGGGGAGTCGGGAGCTTTTCTGGGAATTCACATGAGTGCAGGGGCCGGAGGCATTTGGTCATCCTCTGCTGCTTTTCCAGGCCATTGGCAGGTAGCTAGATCAGAAGCGGAGCAGCCAGAACTTAAACTGGTACCCATATGGGATGCCCATACCGCAGGCAAAGGATTAGCATGCTACGTCACCAAGTCAGCCCCTAGATTGATTTATTAATTAACATGAAAGGCAGAGTTAGAGAGAAATGAGAGGGAAAGGAGAGAGAGAGAGAGAGAGAGAAAATCTTCCATCTGCCTTTTCACTCCTCAGATGGCTATAGTGCCTGAGGCTAGGCCAGTGTATTAGCAGGGAACAGGGTGGAGCAGCACAGACTGGCATCCACGTGGAATGTTGGCATTGCACGTAGCAGCTTAATATGCTGCTCCATGGAGCTGGCCCATCATCAACTTTATCTCAAGCAGCAGCTTTTCTTCCATCCCTGCTTAACCATTAATTTGACATTTGTACTTTCTTCTACTTCAGTAAAGGAGGTGCCTTTTAACTGATGTCTTGTCCTTTTGAGAGCCAGAAACTAGGACCTGTACAACTATGTTATAATGGATTAGGATGAATATGTTTATGAAAACAAGCAAAGTAAAAACCAAGGCTGGAATCCATGCCTCATTTTTTTTTTAAATAAGATGCATCTTCCATGAAATTGCTGCAGACCTGATTGTAAGTTTCCTACAAATTTTCATGAGCTTTTATTTTTTTATTATTTTAAAAAGATTTATTTATTTTTATTGGAAAGCAGATATACAGAGAGGAGGAGAGACAGAGAGGAAGATCTTCCGTCCGATGATTCACTCTCCAAGTGGCTGCAACGGTTGGAGCTGAGCCAATCCAAAGTCAGGAGCCAGGAGCTTCTTCTGGGTCTCTCAGGCAGGTGCAGGTGCCAAAGCTTTGGGCCATCCTTGACTGCTTTCCCAGGCCACAAGCAGGGAGCTGGATGGGAAGCAGGGCCGCCAGGATTAGAACCGGGGTCCATATGGGATCCTGGCGCGTTCAAGGTGAGGACTTTTAACTGTTTTGTGATCACGCCAGGGTCAAGGGTTTTTATTTTCATCCAGCTAAGACCAACCTTCTAATTTCTCTTCCAATTTCTGTTGTGTCCTATAATTTGTATAATAGATATAGTCAAGAAAGATTATAAGGCTGGGATGATAAAAACAAATGAGGAGGGGCTGGCAAAGTGGCTTAGAGGTTATTCTTTTCCCTGCAGCACTAGTATTCCATATGGGCACCATTTCATATCCTGGCAGCCCCGCTTCCCATCCAGCTCCCTGCCTGCTCCCTGGGAAAGCAGCAGAGGACAGCCCAATGCCTTGGGACCTTGCACCTGCATGGGAGACCCAGAAGGAGCTTTTGGCTCCTTGCTTCGGACTGATTCAGTTCTGGCCATTGTGGTCATTTGGCAGGTGAACCAGAGGATAGAAGATTTTTCTGTGTAACTCTGATGTTCAAGTAAAACTGATAAATCTTTTTTTTTTTAAATGTGGAAATGGTAAACACATAAAAAGGTTGATCTCTTCCAAACAGTAAATCCCTGTCAAGCCATCTCACAGGTGTGATATGCCACTGAAAGCTTCCAAAGAGAACACATACACCCCAATGAACAGTTCTGCTTCTTGTAGAGTAATGGATGAAACAGGCGAACAAAGAACACAAGACTTCTACTGGTTGTTACTTACAAAAACATAGAGCGGGTCATACTCCACAGACATGGCCAAGGTCTCGGGCGGCTTCATTCTCAAGATGGCGTCTGTGCTGGAGGGCTGGGCTGGGCAGCCCTGCTTGGGAAGGGCTATGACAGTGGTGGCTTCATCCTGAACAAGAACCATGAGCATCAGTGGGTTTGCAGAACCAGGACAGGAAGGGACAGGTGGTGGACTTGGGGTGGGTAGGTGCTTCCATGGCTGGGGACCTCCTACCTCAGCTCCCTGCTTCAGGGGCCGGGCAAGCTTCTGTGACCTGTAGCTTGTGTAAGCCTGGTGGACAGAGAAGGGCTGGTAGTTCTTGATTTTGTATAGCTGAGGAACCTGAGGGTGAAAGGAGACACCAGGTGACCCATTGGCTGGCTTTGGGGATGTCTCAGTCACAGAGCCATCTGGTGCTGAGAGATGGGCATTACTGGCATTGGCCTTGGTGGGATGGATACCTGCTCCAGGGCCCAGAGCACACCTGTGTGCACGCAATCCCCTCCCCGCCCCCAATGCGGCTGAACTGTGGACATCTGCCAAGATACTTCCATTTAAGAAAACAGAAACTCAAATGGACTTCAAGCAAGGCTGACCAACTCTCCCACACTTTCACCTCGTTTTTTTCTTGATATGTCTAATGCATATCGGCTAGCCAGCTTCATGTGTGTGTAATATATGGTAGACTCACCAAATATCCACTTTGGAAATAAGTCTTTGGCACCTCCCACATTCTATAAAATAATAGTGGAGACACACACACGTACACACACACACGGCATAATCCACCAACAGGACCAAACTAGCACGCTGATGCAATCCAAATTCAACAGGGTTGCTCCCTTCTGAAGCAATCCAATGAAGTGATACTATGTGATGCAGCTCACCTGTAGATTGAAGAAGGAGTAACTCTGCTTGATTTGAATCTCATAGGACTTAATTGGAACTGGTCCCAGGCCATCAGGAGCCTAAGACAGGAAAATCAAAAGACACACCAAAAGTGGCAGGTCATTGACGCTGAGCGGAATCGGCCATGCATCTATCCCCCGCTACATCTGTTGGAAAGACTCCATGAACATTTCTATACAAGCATCCCTCAGGGGCAGCCCTGCTTCTCTGTCCCTTCACACTTCTTCTGCTTTGCCTCTAGCACCACGTCCTGAGAGCTCCCTAAAGATACTTCCTGCATGCTAAGACACCACCTCCAGGATCCCTGGAGTAGGTGGGCCCCCAAATAGCACGTTTTCCTAGTGAGCTGGAGACACTGCCATGCAGATCCCATGGGGCATCATGCCAGTGATTCTGAGATAGCTCCCGGCTTTGCAGGTGCTACATGTGGAGGATAGGGCATCGTATTGTTTATCACAGGCGTTTGCGAGTTCTCTCTTGGCAGACAACCATCCTGAATGTTGCTGTTTCCAGCACCCCTGACCAATGGGGGAGTCTTGGCCACGCGAAGTGAAATACCACGTGAAGTGGGCAAGCTTCGCACTGGGTCCTAATTACGGAGTGGCAGGTATTTATTATCGCGTGGAAATCACGGGCTAATTATACCCTAGCATTGGCATACTCTGACACCTTTAAATAACTTAATCATTTGATGCAAAAAACAACACCCGCAAGTTGTCAGTTCAGTCCCACAACTCTTGGAGGGAGTAAACCGACACACTTAATACCAAAAGGATACCAACGGCAAGCCTGTTTTTCTTTAAAAGGAAAAAAAATCTTTTGCACTTGCGGCTAGGATTTAAGCACAGCTTTTATTACTCCCTGGGTGAACTTGAGGCATACTTTATGATGACTGCTCTTTGCATTTTCTGCCTCAGTTTCCTCACCAGTAAAAGGATGAATTTATCTTACAGATTTCGTAACAACTAAATGGTAAGACACTGCTTGTTGTATCGTAAATGCAATGGAAGGGTTTATTATTTTTGTGAGAAGGAGAAAGGATAAGCTGTTACGTGGGGGGAAGAGAAAAAGAGAGAGCGAGAGAGACAGAGAAAAGGGTGTGGGGAGAGGAGGTGAATTGGAATTGTGAACCTGGAGGGTCAGATTGTAACATTCTGGGCCTGCACTCCTTCCCTGGTAAGCCAGCCTCAAACCTAGCAGTAGAGTAGAGCCTGCCCCATCAGTCTCGCCAGTCCTCTTGAGCCCAGTTGCCAAGCAGTAGGTGGTACGGCTTAGGGCTCATGCTGGGGCCTGGCTGGAAAGCACCCAGCTCAGGCTACCTGGGAACCCTCATGGAGGTGCCCGCGAAGCAGGTGCAAGGCCAACAGCAGCTGGGATCCTTGATTTCTAGTTCCCCTGGGCCCAGGCCTGTCTCCAGATAGCAGGTAGGTAGGGGCTTTTACAAATGATAACCCGGTGACAGTGCCCAGCCCCGCGGCACCCACCAGCTCGTTGGAGTCCTCAGTGGGGCTGTAGGATGGAAAGGCGAAGGGCAGCACCTGCTGGGGCGACACTGAGAAGCGACTGCAGTAATCATCCTGGCCCGAGCCCGGCAGGCTCTTGGGGGGATTCCTGTCTTTGGGTGAAAAAACAAAACAGTCTCTTAGGAAATGCTTCGGATATTTTGCTGTGAAAACATCATCATCTTTAGTTGCATGCTACCCCATGCCAAGTCAAAAAGAATAGTCAACAGGATGTGGTTAAGAACTAGCATTTTCTAACATATTGGTCACTCAATACCATGTCAGTTAACTCCATAATGTTGTGAACTGTTGTTAATGTTATGTTATGGCTTTTAATTGGTCGGAACGATATTCTGCCAGTTCTACTTTCAGACCAGAGATGGTCTCCCCAGGAAACTGTTGAATTGATCTGGATAATGAGACACTGGACTCTATGCATGGCACATGCTTACAATGTAAGAAGCATGACTGGATTTGAACTGTAATACTGCAATAAGGTGGAGTAATCTACTATGGTGGGAGGGTAAGGGGAGGGGTTGGGGCCACCTCAGAGCCTATGAAACGATGTCATAAAATGAAATGCAATAAAATGAATAAATAAATAAATAAAATTTGTTTATTTGAAGACAGAATGACAAAGAGAGAGAAAGAGAAGGAGAGAGTGGGAAAAAGAGAGAGAGATCTTCCATTCATTGGGTTACTCCCCCAAATGCCCACAGTAGTCAGGACTAGGCCAGACTGAAGCCGGAAGACTGAAACTCCATCCAGATTCCTTATATGGGAGGCAGAGGCCCAAGCACTTATACCATCATTGGCTGCCTTCCCAGCAGCAAGGAGCTGGATCAGAAGCTGAGCAGCTGGGACGTCAACTGGTCTCTGATAAGGGATGCCAGCACCATGAGTAGCAATTTACGCCATTATGCCAAAATGCTGGCTCCCTTCTCCTCCAGGCTTCCAAGTTTTTATTGCATTTTTACTTCCTGAAAGCTATAGTTCCTGACTCAAGTAACTCTGATGAATTCAGCAAAGGTGAAGGTTAATGAAAGGAGTCAAGAAAAAACCTTTGGGCCCAGTGGCTAAAGCCTCACCTTGCACACACCAGGATACCATATATGCACAGGTTTGTGTCCTGGTTGTTTCACTTCCCATCCAGCTCCTTGCCTGCTCCCTGGGAAAGCAGTGGAGGATGGCCCAAAGCCTTCGGATCCTGCACCCACATGGGGAGTGAACCAGCAGATAACATGATCTACCTCTTTGTTTGTAGACCTACCTTTCCAATAAAAATGAATACATCTTTTTTAAAAAAAGCAAAGCAAAAAGAAAGACCCTTTGTAACTATTCACACATAACTCACTTTTTAAAAAATAAAAAACATTGCTTTGTTAGAAACTTTTCATATCAGAGACAGAAATAATACAGGAGAAAAAAAGTAAGTAATTTAAATGCTATGGACATTCTGGGAAAAAAAAATTACACAGGCAGATCGTGAGGGAGGAGTGGGGGAGGGAGTGTGGCTAGCCCCCTTGGGAGGACACAACAGTGTAAGGTGCTGGCTACGGAGGGGAGAAGACTGGGGAGGCCCAGAAGGGTCAGGTTGGCCCAGTGATGGGAAACAAGCCCACCAGGAGAAAGAGTAGGGCATGGCTTCGGGGCTTCTGGAAACTTCCAGAGACACCAACTGCTCTAAGGGTGGGGGTGCTGGAATTGTAAACAATGTGGGATGACCAAGAGGTCCCCATGCCACAACTTGGGGAATCTGTGAATGAATGTGTGTGTCTCCACCTGGTAGAGCAAGAGTTTCATGGGTGTGACTTCGGATCTGGAGGTGGACCAATTGCTCAGAGTGGTCCAGGCGGAGGGGAGCCAGGGTGGTCAAAGGGTCTGGATAAAAGGGAGGAGAAGGGGAGGAAGATGCAACTGGTGGCCGAAGCACTGGCATGAGAGTGACTGAGAAAGGGGTCACCAGCCAAAGAGCACCAGCCACCTCCAGATGCCGGCCAAGGCGTCCCGAGCCCCAGCTGCCCACACCCAGGCAGAGGTCAAGATCTTTCATCTCCAACAGTGAGACTATATGCTCATATTGCTTTATGCCATGACATTGGTGGTGACCAGATCCTGCGGTAACAGAAAATGGATGTGTGCTGTTCATGAGAACATTTTGTGTCTCTATAGCTAACATGCCGGGGCGGTGGGAGGGAGTGGTGGAGACAACGGCACCCAGTCCTGTGGTTCTCCACAGCCGTGTACATTACCTTTCTCCAGAGACTGCTTTTTCTTATTGAGCTTTCTCACCATGCTCTCTGTGACCATCTCACGAATAGCTGCTAGCATGGCCAACAGGCGTCGCTGAACCATCACCTGGAATGGCGAACAAGAATGACTTCCCATCATGGGTGGGTGGTTGCTTATGTTGGTCCTCACCCCAAGTATCTCTTTTCTGTATTCTGATCACAATGAAAGAGCCTAGATCACCACTCTAAGAAGTTACCAGGAGACTGACAGTGGGCTGCTCGGGACCTAACCTTGAGGTCTTCAAGGTCTGCGACAACAAAAGAACAAGCTGTCGTCTGGCCTTGTCACCACTCAATTTATGAGAGCTGCTTTTCTCCTAATTCCAGGATGGAAAGAGTGACTCGTTCTATATTCGTCTCTTCTGGATCGAGCTGAATGGACACACTTCCGCTGTGTTATTTTTGGAGGCAAAGGCCAAGTGACACAAATGATTCTGTCACAGCAGGGTTGTGAGAGAGAGGGCAGTGCCACCTTCATGCCCCTGAACTTTGTGCTCACAGGACTAGGACTGCAGGAGCGTGCCACCTGCTCACAGAGTTGCAGCTGAAGGCACCATGTGTTCAGGGACTCATACTATTTCCCATGGTATAAGCAAGTGTAGGCTTAAAAAACAACTTATGGACCCAGTACATGGCTCAAGCGCTGGGATCCCATGTGGGCGCCAGTTCACGTCCCAACTGCTCCACTTTACATACAACTACCTGTTTGTGGCCTGGGAAAGCAGTGGAGGATGGCGCCAGTCTTTGGGACCATGCACCCACATGGGAGACCCAAAAGAAGCTCTTGACTACTGGCTTCAGATTGGCTCAGCTCCTATCATTGTGGCCATTTGGGGGAGTGAAACAGTTGATGGAAGATTTTCCTCTCTGTCTCTTTTCTTTCTGTAAATCTTATTTTCCTTTCCAATAAAAACAGATTTTTAAAATTATTATTAAAAAGGAGAGCTCATAGCACAACGGGATTCAAAGATTTGTCCGGGTGTGTGGCCCTTTGGAACCCCACACAGCGTTAGGTTTCCTTGGCATGTGCTGTTCCATGATCTTGTAGAGGGTTTCCTTTGCATTATTAAGCAGCTCCCCCATGCTCAGTGCTAGACAAGACATCAGACACACAGTGGCGGAGTCACCCTTCACCAGCACCTGCAGCAAGCACCTGGATGGCTAAATAGGGTAAACAGGCATGGAGCAAACCAAACCAGAACAGAGGCATGAAGAGGGGGCTGGGAGGGCTAGAACCAGGGAGAAGGGTCTGCCCACTTAGGTGCAAATGATGTAGGGCTTTGGGGAGAGGCTCTCGGACAGGTGAGATCTGACCCAGATGATGAAGGTACAGGTCTTGGGCGGAGAGTTCTGAGGACCAGGGCCTGGTGCAGGAGCTCTAGGGGCAGGTGCGTAAGGGAAAGTGGAACAAGCACACTATGGCAGCCTGAGTACATCTGTGCATTTCCCATTGGAAGCCTTTGGAAGGTTCCAGAAGGGGAGGGTGTGGGTTTTTTTAAAGTTTTGCAAATGCTATTGAGGTGGTTGAGTGGGGCCTGGAAGCAAGGAGACTGTTTGGTCTGGTCTTGGTTGTGGTCTGGGTGGGGAGAGTCTGGGGATCTGGGCTGTGGTTAAAGCTGGGGAGAGGTCAGGAAGTCATTGGGCTGGGGACGTGGGAGGGGACTTCAAAAAGTGTGTGGAAAGTAGAAGTCCAACTAAATTCATTTTGTTGCAAGAAACAAAAACAAAAATTCAATCCACTCAGGTTTTGAAAAGATACATTTTTATGAGCTTTCTGAAGAACCCATATATGCATGGATTTCCAAACTGTTTGGCACCAGGATAATTTGATTTTCAATTCTGTTTCCTAGGACTTTTTTTTTTTTTTTCTTTTGAGACCTTTCACATTGACACTTAGGACTAATGGTCCTTGCTGAGGCACATGAGGACAACATGGAGCCAGCATGCAGAATCGACCCCATAAACACTCACCACATTTGTTGCAGGCTGTGGAGTTGGCCCACCTGTAGCAACCTGGTCAGCCAGACTCCCACTGGTATCTGCCTGCTCTCTGAGGCTGTGCCTTCCTCCCATGGAACACAGCCTTATGCTGCCAGTGCCCAGCATTCTGAGCCTCTTGGGGCTGCCCCCTCCCTGCCCATCAGCACAAACCATCCAGGTAGAACCCCAGGAGGAGACTGGAGCTTGGGTGAGGAGGTGGTCCCTGGCTGCAGTGGGCATGCTGGGTGCAGACTGAGAGTCCACCCACAAGCCAGCCTGTTTGTCCCTTACCACTCTGCTCACTCATGCCATCCTCACACCCACCCTAGGAGACAACCCTTCATAGTTCCTCCCAGGGTCTAGAGGAGCAAGCTGGAGCACAGAGGTGATGTCACTGGTCAGGATCAGAAGGGTCAGGTAGGCTCAAGGGTAGAGGGCAGAGGCCTGGCTTCTAGGAACTGGGTCTGAACCACCGCACTCCACCTTCTGGAAATGTGGCCCCACCTCCCAGGGATGAGATTTTTCAGATTAAACCTCCTCCTATACTGCCAGCATCCCAGATGGGCACAAGTTTGAGTCCTGGTAAACGCATTTCTGATCCAGCTCTCTACTAATGCACCTGGGAAGCAGTGGAAGAATGGTCCAAGTCCCTGTGCCCCTGTACCCACTTGGGAGTGTTGGATAAAACTTCTGGCTCCTCGCTTCACCCTGACCCAGCCCAAACTGTTGCAGTCATTTGGGGAGTGAACCAGTTGATGGAAGACTCTCTCTGCAACTCTGCATTTCAAATAAAGAAACATTAAAGAAAAGAGGGAAGACAGGGATTTGGACAACATACAGTACAAATATACAGTACAACATATGACACTGTGGACAGTTTAGAGGGTCTCCTTATTCCATCAATTGGCAGGTGAAGCTCAGGAACCTTCATCTGACCCTGACGAAGAGTGAGGAAATGAAATGGGAGAGTGAGGAAGCCACTGAAGGGGGGGGGGGGGGTGGACGTGTCAGAGCCATGACCTTACAACTCTTGCCGGGAGCCTAAGTTGTGTTCTCTAGGAATGCAACAAATCAAAATTCCATCATTTGGGAGGGACTCTGTGACCCAGCTGTTCCATGCTGGAGCACATAGACTCAAGAGAGCTGAAAACTTGGGTAATACAGCATTCACAGCAGACTTGTGCCTAAGCTAAAAGATAGAAACTACTGAAATTGCCATTGACCGACGAATACCTAAGGAAACTATGATAGATCCAGACAATGGAATACTAGCTGGCCAGCAAAAGGAATAAGGATGGATGCAGGCTACCCCACAAATGAAGTCTGAGAATTTGTGATGCTTGCATTGATAATGGAAGAAATCTCCATTTCAGCAGGGAGCTGGGACTCACCTTGCGTGCCGCCTGCTGAAACCGTCTTTGTGCCCGGAATCTGTTGACCCAGGTGTTATTAATGAGTGGGTCAAATTCAGGATGGAATTCCTTGGGTTTCTGTGAAAATAGGATACAAGCATGTTGTGTGTTTAAATGTTAGCTCCTGGCATTGCCATGGAGTCCAGATCCAATAAGACATGCACCCTCAGTGAAGTCATTATGTATGTGCTCTGCTATTTGGCAAGCATTTATTAAGCACCTTTAGCATACTTAGTATTATAAGCTCTGCAGTTAGAGTTGGGAAACGACACTGAAAGACCAGATTTGGGTGGCTAAGATACGGATGATCTAGCTGGGGAACAAGCATTGGGGACCACCCAAGAAAAAAATACATCACTCAAGATCAACTCCACAGGCAGGGGCTGGCATGGCATACAGAATAGAGGGGGAAAGGATAGACAAAGACTACTTGGATTGATTAAGTGTGAGACATGAAGGTTGAAGCCCAGTGCGGCCTTGTATGTAAGAGCTCCTAGCGAGACTCTGTGGCCAGATTCAATGAGGGGGAGAGAACAAGGGGGAAAGATAAATTCAGTGTGGTTAACCCAGTGCAGAAAATGGAGAGAGTGGTGGTGGGAGGTTAGAAAGGTGTTTTCATGGTTGAGATGAAAAGGTGGAGTTCCAAGCAGAAGGCATCAGTGACAGAGGGCATTTGGGTGGAAGAGGTACCACTGTCCCATGTCACGTTGTAAGGGTCATTAGGACAGGAAGCTTGGCATACCCCACGTTTGACCTCTGGTCTGGCATCCTTTATGCCTGTTTGGAGGAAGACCATGGATTTCCTTGCCATCCTCATACCACCCTTGAGCACCAGCAAAGAGGCTGAGAGAAAAGGAAGAGAGAGTGGAGAAAGGACAGAAAGGAGAAGCCAGGGAATGTGACGGTCTCAGCTTCTAGAAAGAGGCATATTTGTGGCGAGTTCTGATGCTTTCCTTGTAAATACACCACCCAGGGTTGGGTAGGGGGGTGGAAAGAAAAGTCCATCTGAAAATTCTCGTGTTATCAAGGGTTAGCGGTCTCTGAGTAAAGTGACTGCCCACAAAGTGTTCTTAGCAGTTCAAGAATAAGCCCCAAAAGAGCAGCCCATGGTAAAATCTCAAGCAAGGCAAGGTCACCCACCTCTTGCAGATTATGCACTACACGCTTCTGGCTCACTTCCGTCTTGAGTCGTTGAAACTCCTCATCCAGGACAGGGTCACCTCTGTCGAGCTGAGATTGACCAAACAGCAAAAAATGTTACAGTGGAATGTAGGGGCATCCAATTCTTGCCCCACCCGAAGAACTGGTGGACAGCAGTGGAGCATGTGGGCAAACCTGGCTGTACAAGTTGGAGCTGGGAGTGGTGCACACACACAGCAGCAGCACGGACTCAATTCCCTCCTTCCAAGGCATTCAAAGCCCACCAGTGGGGTGTCAGGGCACCAGGAAACTACAGGAGTCTACAGCTACAAATTTCATTGGAAAGGAATTAAAATAAGCATCCTTGGGGTCGACCATCTAGTGCACAGTGATTCTTTTCCACTTCCTGGACGGTTGATGTTGAGAGATGGTTTTGGGCCTGGAAGACTACCTGTTCCTTCCCTGGACTAACTATCCCCTCAGTGCCCTCCATCCCTGGCTAATCGCTCTTGGCCTCTTCTCCTTGAAAATCTGTACTCAGACACACAGAGCAAAGCCCATGTAAGGACATGGTGGGAAGATGGCCATCTGGGCTGAGGGTCCTGCCCTGGAAGAAGTCAGCACTGCCAGCTCCTTGATCTTGGACTCCTTCTGACCATGGGAATTGTGAGCAGTGCATGTCAGCTGTTCACAACCTCCAGGGCTGGGGTGATCACTACTGTGGCCTATGCAGATGCTAGGTGCTAATGCTGTGTATCCTACACTCCAGTCCAAACTCCTAAGACGTCAAGTCCCAGCCAAGGGCCAAGCCCCTATGTGGCCTGGGATTCGGCTACTACGGCCATGGGTGGTCCGAGCATCCTCTGCCCTCTCCATTGCCTGGAACTATCAGTCCTTCAGCAGTATAGGAAGGCCATGGGGTTGCTCAGCACCATGGTTCCCATCACTGAACCTACGTGTGCTGCCTAGGTGTTCCTGGGGGCAGCTCACCTCCCTTTCTCCGCTCAACTCCTCTGAGTGTCTCTGACAGGGGACTGTGGCTTGGGTCTGGCTCTGCCCAGGGATCCCCCAGTTTTCCACCTTTGGGTCTCTCTTCATTGTACCTTCAGTGAATAAACATACAAGGGCACCCCAAAGGATCTAGTGCAGTGGCTCAATTAGCCAACTCCTCCCCCTTAAGTGCCAAGATCCCATACGGGTGCCGGTTCGTGTTCTGGTTGCTCAATTCCCCATCCAGTTCCCTGTCTGTGGCCTGGAAGGACAGCAAAGGATGTCTCAACTCCTTGGGACCCTGAACCCATGTAGGAGACCTGAAGGAAGCTGCTGCCTTTTGGCTTCAGAGTGGCTCAGCTCTGGTAGTTGTGGCCCTTAAGGGAGTGAACTAACAGATAGGAGATCTTTCTTTCTGTCCTTTTTTCTGTAATCTGTCTTTCAAAAAAAAAAAAAAAAGATCTTAAAAAAGGGCACCCCATGTTCATCCAGAATTATAGTCTGAAAGTCTGAATCGGCCACTGCCTGCACCCTCACACTCTTGTCTTCTTCATGACTTGTCACGGTTGTCTCATGTCACCCATGCTCTCTCGTGCTTCTGAATCCTCGTGATCCTGGACGCTGGTCTCTCACGGCATGTGTACCTAGCCTTGACTTAGGGGAAAACCACTGCAGTTCTCATCAGCCTCCTCTCCCCCACACTGAACTATTAGTTTTTCTCCTCCTGAGTTGACATTTCACATATTTAAAATATGAGACACACACTACCAAGTGCAGCAGGAATTCTTACCTTGTACTTGTTGTATGCTTTCTGCCGCTCCTCAGTAAGGTCTTTTCTGAGTTTAAAGGACATATGATCTTTACCAAGATGCACCTGCCTGGAGTGAAAACAAAACAAAAAACCCAAGAATTTTTGGAAGCCACCCAGAATATCCATGTCTGATTCTGAAGTGAGATTGACTTCAAAAAGCTCATGGGAAAATGGAGTTTAAAAGATACATTTAGGGACCGGCATTGTGGTGTAGCATGGCAAGCTTCAACCCTGGATGCCAGCATCCCTTATGGGCACTGGTATCAAGTCCCAGATGCTACACTTTCTATCCACTTTCCTGCTGCAAACATGCCTGGGAAAGTAGTGGAAGAAGGTCCTAGTGCTTGGGTCCCTGCACCCATACAAGAGACTCAGAAGAAATTCCTGGCACCTGATTTTGGATTCGTCCAGCTTTGTCTATTGTACCCATTTGGGGAGTGAATCAGGAAAGGAAACTAAGGAGCCAGCGAAACTAAATATCAAGGTCCTGATGTTTAAGCAGACTCTGGATTCTCAGGGCCTCAGGGAGACAGATGACTCAAATCAGAAAGCATGGGGTGTGGCAGAGTCCAGGGACATCGGGGTAAATCTGCCTGTGTACTGACTGCTGTCAGGTGACGTGAATGCCTTGGCGGCACACCTCATGGAGGTGACAATGGGGATGCCAGAGAATGTCCTTGTTCTTAAGCGGTACATGGTCAAGTGCCCAGGGGCAAGGCTTCCTCATGTGCCCGGCTTGCCTTCAGGGAGCTTGGGAAGACCAGATGTCAGGGTGCATGTGTGTACATGCGCATGTGCATTGCCTGCGCACATGCAGCTGTATTCACGTGTATGTACAAGCATATACATGTGTTTGTTTGTATGCACATGTACACATGTGTATATGATGTGTGTGCACATGCATGTGTGTCAGGTGCCCCAGTCACATGGGCAGCAGGAGACAGGCACACCTTGGGAGCCCCTCAAGGTGAGAGTGTGTGGGGCCTGGCACAATAATTAAATTGGCTGATCTTCCCCTTGCAAGCACCAGCATCCCATATTGGTGCCAGTTCATGTCCCAGCTGCTCCACTTCCCATCCAGCTCCCTGCTTGTGGTCTGGGAAGGCAGTAGAGGGTGGTCCAAAGCCTTGGGACACTGTACCCACATGGGGAACCCAGAAGAAGCTCCTGGCTTTGGATCAGCTCAGCTCTGGCTGTTGCGGCCATTTGGGGAGTAAACCAGTGAATGGAGGCTCTTTCTCACCATCTCTCCTTCTCTCTATAAATCTGTCTTAATTTTTTTTAAAGTAAAAATGTATCTTGTTGTGTCTGGGAAGTGCGAATGCGGGGCTGCAGCACAGGCGGCCACCCCAGTCCACACTTTAGTGGCATGTCTGTAACTCCATGTGAGACCAGAACACACAGCTATGCATGTGATGCGCTGGCTCTATTCTGACAAGGCCTCTGGGGGCCAATGGAACAGGCCATGAGGGCTGCTGGTGGGAAGGTGGTGGGAAGGGCTGGGATGAGAACTGGGATGTGCAAGACACTCAGACTTCCCCCAGGGGCCAGAGGTGGGTGTGGGTAGCAGAAAGCAGGAGCCCCATTCACTAAGGCTTGTGATCCACTTGTGTTCTGAATTGTTGGGTCGCATTAAGGAAAGCATGTGGCTTGGTTGTGTTTGTTTATTCCCGTGAGAATCCTCACTCTGAAACAGAAATCCAGTCCTCCACTGGATCTCTCTGGCTGCAAGCGGCTGCTCCGGACTCACCACTTGAGGTGATTCTGCATTTCCTCATGAGCGTCTTGTCTGACTTTCTGTTCAAACAGCGCCTCCTTCATCTGTCTGGTTTTGGAAATCTCAGTGCCTTGGTCCAAAACTGCAAGTGGAAGCAAACTGCCATTAGATCAGTAATTGAATCAGCCTCCCTGGCTGAGAGAGACAGACCCATTTCTCATGGCAGAGCCTATTAGCTGTCTTGAGGAAATCTTGTTGTTCATCAATAATTCATGTCACCAACAGCCACCATCCCCAATCCGCCCACGGGTTGCCAGTTACCTTCTCGTAATTCTTTGATCTTGAGTTTTCCTGGTTCTTGGTTTAAAACAGTGGCCACGGCAAAGGGATTTGATAGATCAGCTGGAAACCTCAAGTTCTGGTACTCGATCTCCTGTGAGAGAAGTCAGTTGGAAATCTGTGTTACCTGGCTGGTCTGTCGTCCCACGTGGCATGTGGTGGGGACCCTGCCCATTCACCTTAATCTTTTGAGGAGGTTTCTTGGCTGGGGGTCGGCAGAAGTGCCTGTGTATGTTGGCTTTTTCTTGGGGAGCATTCACTTTCTTAGAGAGGGTGTTTAGTCGTTCAAACTCTTCTAATCTACAGTTCAAAACAGATGTTAAATTCGTATGTAAGCTGATAACTTGACACTCCTATTTTTACATTCCTTCCAATCATCTCGTTGACCTTCAGTCCATTTGTACACTGTCCCCCCCCAAATTAAATGTGTGTGTCAGAACAATGATCTACTAAAATAAATGTGCCATCATATGTTAGAGCATATTAGAGTATGGTTACATACGTGTGTGTACAGAGCCCGTTGGGACAGGCACCATGGCACAGTAGGCTAATCCTGCACCTGTGGTGTCAGCAACCCATATGGGTGGCAGTTCCAGTCCTGTCTGCTCCACTTTTGATTCAGCTTCCTGCTAATGACCTAGGAAAGCAGTGGAGGATGTCCCAATCCTTGGGCCCCTGCACCCATATAGGAGACCCATAGGAAGGTCCTGGCTCCTGGCTTAGATCAGCTCAGCTCCAGTCATTGTGGTTATTTAAGGCAAAGCCACCTATGTGCGGCAGCACGTGCTGCAAGGTGGCAGTCACAATCTGCTTCTGGTGATCTGATGTCAGAACACTTCTCTTGGGTTTAACTCTGTTTGCCTTTGGGCCCCAGGGGATTTTATTTTTACTCTGGGTTCCATAGCTAATCATGATTGACTCAGGATTTTAAGGAGGGTAATCCTCCTTATATTTAACACCAATGTGGAGTTATTTTATATTCAGGCATGAGGTTGATAGATGAGGTTTAATGTATTTAATACGTTCAACATTCATGTGTGAAGGGAAGGAGAGGGAACTCAATTGATTTCTTTATCACTCTAAAAAATACTGATCAGGGATGGCAGCTGAAGTACCAAGGGTTCAGCTAGTGTTTGGGATGCCCACAGACTATATCAAATTTTGGGTTTGAGTCCCAGCTGCTCTGCTTCTGATCCAGGTTCTTGCCAATGCACCTAAGAAGGCAGTGAATGATGGTCCCAATACTTGAGTACCTGTTACCCACCTAGGAGACCTGCGCGGAGTTCCTGGCTCCTGGTTTTAGCCTAGCTTAGCCTTGGCTGTTGTAGCCATTTGTGGAGCAAACCAGTGGGTATAAAGTCTCTCTTTTTCTCTCGTTCTGTGACTCTGCCATTATATATATAATATGATATAATATATAATGAATATATAATATAATATAAAATGACTAATATAATATATAATACATAAAATAAACCAATAATAATATAATAATGTGATAATATATAACACTATAAAATAAATAATAATATAATATATAATAAATAAAACAAACACATATATATGAAAATCTTCACCTATAATTTTGTTGGTCTGAATTTATTAAACTTCCAAGTAGACAGTGATACATGCACATGGTCAAATAGCTGGCACTGGACCTGGACAAAGCCAGGAGCCTGGAGCTCAATCTGGGTATACCAAGAGGTGACAGGGACCTGACAGGTAGAATTACCACCTGCTGCCTCCTAGGGTCTATAAGAACCAGAAGCTGGATTTGGAAGCAGAGCAAGGACTCAACCTAAGCACTCTGACTTTAGGATGTGAACCTCCCAAAGAGCATTTTGACTGCTACTCTGAACATCTACCCCTCTACTAACTTTGTGATAGGGTTCTAGCAGGTATATATATAGAGAGAGCTGAATGGAGAAGAATTGGATGCCAAAAAAAGCATTGAGAATAAACAAAACCATCCCAAAGAAGTCCATACGGCAAGGCCATGTTGGGGTAGCAGGTTCCGGTGAAGACGCATTGGTAGGGCTGGGAGTTGAACTCTGAGATCCACAGTTGCATCTTTATCTGTGCAGTTCCATACTGAAAGGGTGTAAACTTGACTGTCACATTCGTCTTTCCGTTGGCTGGGATTATTCCTGAAAGGAAAGAAAGGGTGAGAAGGTGGGATACCCTCTCTTTGCCACCATAGTTCAAGAGGTACAAGCCTGAGCTTCCTGTTTTTAACATTGGCTTTTCTTTAAATGCACCTGAATCAACCTCCACACGTGTATCCTGAGCTCATGTATTCTTCACTGCATTCATCTTTTGTCATCATTGTTTGGTGATGTCCACTATATAAACATGCACCTGTTCATCTGCATTAGCAGTTCAGGGTACAATTCCCAGAACCACAGCCTTGAAACCAATGACTAGATACTGTAAATGATAAGGAAAGACAATCACACACACACACACACAGAGTTTGTGCCCAAATAATTCAGTTTCTTATAGTTTCATGTGTGATTTGATTCTCTCCTTTTAGATCTTTAGGATGGACTTTCACATTGTGCCTTATTCTTCCTTCATACATTTGGTGCCAATGGGGTTTAGCATGTATAGAAAGCTCTCAACAAACAGGGGAAGAAGGGAAGAGAAGAGGGAGGGTCAATGCGCAGGTGTGATGGGGGCTAAGGTTCTCTTTGACTTTCACTAAGGACCCTTTCGTTTGCTCTCCAAACCAGACCTACCATCCCTGAATATTTGGTCCTTCCATTGTTCTTGCCCAGCCCTCCTTGTGCCTTGCACACCCTCCTGTCCGTGTGCTCCCTTCTCACTTCTCTCTCTCTCTTTCTCTTTCTCTCTTTCTCTCTCTCCCCCTCTTTCTCTTCTTTGTTTGCTCACCCATAATCACTATTCATTCATGCAGATATCCGAGCATCTACTGAGCACCAGTTCTGTGCCAGGGCACTGATTTAGGCCCTGGAGATACAACAATAAACCAAACACAGTCTTGGAACTCCTGGAGTATGTATTCCATCCAACAAAAAGAAAGGAACAAATCAATGTCACACATGGAGCCAAGTCGTGACCACAAACAAGAGCAGCCAAGCCGGCCATGGACCAGTAGGTGTGGCTGAGATGTATGTAACACGTGGAGACAAGGATGGATGGGGAGGCTCCCTGGCTATGAGAGGATGGAGACGAGGGCTGAGGGACAGGACTTGGCTTTTGGTGCTCCCTAGGTCTGACTTTTGCCTTGCCTATGGCTTGTAGGGATTATCTTGTTGTTATGGTCTGCCTTCCCCGGTGGCTCTCAGAGACAAGTCCCAGAGTTCCAGTGAGGACAGAGGGCCTGGATGGGACAGGTGGTGGGCTTCCTCTTCCTCATAAGTGTCTCTTCTCCAGTCTAGGTGAAGATCAAGGAGCCAGCACTCCCTCCCCTCCACACTTTGTAGGACAGACCTTTGTAACCCCTCCAGGGTGGGAGGGAAGGTTCTGCTTGTACTTGCGCAGACTTGGAGGCCAGTTGGAGTGGATTCAAGTACCTCCTTCATCACTTGCACTGGAATGGCCCAAGACGAGGAAGGTAACCTGACTGTGACTCACTTCCACATCTGTGAGATGGAAATAATGACTGCTGTACTTGGTGCAGTTGTGGTGCAGATTAAATGTGTTTGTGTCTTACTTAGGAGGCACCCAGGGTGTAACAATCTCCAAGTTTTACAATCATTATTATCCTGAAAAGTTTATTGTGAGAATATTCAACTACACTTAAAGTTGGAAATATTATTTTCTTTAGTATAATTTTAATAACCAGTTATTTTCCTTTCTTTTTAAAGCTCCAAACACCTGGAAACAATAAACCTCTTCTCTCTGGAAAGAAAATGAAGCCCTATTTTTCTTGACAATATGAGTAGTAGGTATCCTGTATTGAAAAAAAAAAAAAACACTCCACTTCTCCAGAAAACAATCTCTTTGGATTTCATAATTTAGAAGTAATTCAAAATATCTGCTATGAACATTTGTTTTTTTGACAAAATATGTGCTCGCAATGACAGGAGAGTTAGCAATCAACGAACACCCAGATTTGTAACAAAACTGCTTTAGCATTCATCTCAGACTGCTGCATACAAATATTTCAATCCTAGACCCACACAGCAAGAGACGGAGGGACACTGGGAAGCAGAAATCAGTCCAGGTGCATACTTTCACTTTCAAAGGTGAGGGAACCTACTTCCCAACCCTAGAGGTGGGGGCTTTCTTCGGGACATGCAAAGGCCATCTTTCCCGCCGGGTAGGAGGCAAATTCCTTAGACACATCACTAAGCCTCTGAAAGCTGGGAAGACCGTTTCTGATACCCCTGTGATTCAATTAAAAGGCAAATGTAAAGCCAGGGACATATTAAGAGCCCAAATCAGAATGAGACCTAACTAACTGTTCATGTCAAGTCTTGACCTTAACCAAAACTTACCTGCATATTTTTATGAATGATCTGCATTGTTTGCATTATTCAAGAGTACCCTTATTCCCAAATGCCCAATCCCAATCTATATCACGCCAGACAGCTGGAATTCGCTACCCTTACCCATATGAACAGAGTTGTACCTTCAAATGTGGCTTATTCTTTCTATAGGAACTGGAGACCTACTCTTTCGGTCCCCTGTGCGATCCAAGGAACTTCAAGGAATGAGCACCCGGAGGTGTTTCCTCTCCTTACCTTTTGTTGGCTCAACCACAAAGGCCTGATGCGACTCAATCAAGGTGATGTGGAATTCAAAATCCACAGGGCAACTGCACTGCAGAGGAATCACATAGGTTTTGCTACAAAGGAGATGGGCAAAAATAAACAGAATGAAAAAAATTATGATTTTTCTTATTAACTAGCTCCTTCAGTAGTAAGGGAGACTCAACATACACAATGAACAAAAATGGCAGCATCCAACACAGATCTAGCTGGAAACTATTTCTCTAAGGAATTTGATCCCATGAGGTAATGAGATGGTTATCCCCATTTTCTTTTCTTTTTAAAAATGTATTTATAGGGCTCAGTGCGGTGGCCTATTGGCTAAAGTCCTCACCTTGAAAGCGCTAGGATCCCATATGGGCACCAGTTCTAATCCTGGCAGCTCCACTTCCCATCCAGCTCCCTGCTTGTGGCCTGGGAAAGCAGCTGAGGATGGCTCAAAGTCTTGGGACCCTGCATCCATGTGGGAAACCCAAATGAAGTTCCTGGATCCTGGCTTCGGATTGGCATAGCACCGGCTGTTGCAGTCACTTGGGGAGTGAATCATCAGATAGAAGATCTTCCTCTCTGTCTCTCCTCCGCTCTGTATACCTGACTTTCCAACAAAAATAAATCTTTCAAAAATGTATTGGGCCCGGCGCGGTGGCGCAAGTGGTTAAGGTCCTCGCCTTGCACGCCCGGGATCCCATATGGGCGCCAGTTCTAATCCTGGCAGCCCCGCTTCCCTTCCAGCTCCCTGCCTGCGGCCTGGGGAAGCAGTCGAGGACAGCCCAAGGCTTTGGGACCCTGCACCCCCGTGGGAGACCCGGAAGAGGCTCCTGGCTTCGGATTGGCATAGCATCGACCGTTGCGCTCACTTGGGGAGTGAATCATGGGACGGAAGATCTTCCTCTCTGTCTCTCCTCTCTGTATATCCGCCTTTCCAATGAAAAAATAATAAAAATAAATCTTTAAAAAAATCTATTTATTTTTATTGTAAAGGCAGACAAAAATGGAGAGAAGGAGACAGAGAGAAGGATCTTCCATTCACTGGTTCACTCCCCAATGGCCACAATGACTGGAGCTGAGCCAATCCAAAGCCAGGAGCCAGGAGCTTCTTCTGGGTTTCCCATGCAGGTGCAGGAACCCAAGGACTTGGGCTGTCCTCCACTGCTTTTCCCAGACCACAGGCAGGGAGCTGGATGGCAAGTAGAGCATCCGGGACATGAACCGATGCCCATATGGAATCCTGGCTCTTGCAAGGTGAGGATTAGCTACTGAGCCATCATGCCAGGGCCTATCCCCATTTTCAGAAGAGGAAATTGAGAAACAAGAGAGGGGAGGTGGTCCCCACAAGGTAGCATGGCTCAGACTGAATGCAAATTGGCCATGATCGTTGGTGTCTACACTGCCACCATGGTCTTGCTCATCCTTTCCCTGATGTGTACACTAGCAGCACTCCTTTGCTGCCTCAGGAGTACTGGGAGGTCTAGACCACAGAGACTCTGAGTATTAAGAAAGAGGTAATCCCTACCCCCTCCCACCACACTACACATAGTTAGGCCTCAAGCATCCTAGGAAATATTGGGCCAACAGGCTGTGGAGAAAGCTCAAGGGAATCCTCAAACTTGGTAGAACTTGGAACTGGAGCCCTTTCCAGCAGGCACTGGGTGTCCTACATGGCTCTTGAGACAGAGTTTCCAGTTCCCTTGCAGTTCCCTTGCAGTAGGGGAAAGTTGTGCCCCTTTCCAATCATCCGGCTTCTCCTTGCACCTGCCATTTTGCTTTCTTCCTCTCCTTTCTTGTCACTCTGGCTTTCAAATAAATAAATAAATAAATAAATCCTTAAGAATGCATTATCTTTTGGACCCGGTATGGTAGCCTAGTGGTTTAGGTCCTCACCTATGTTTTTTTTTTTTTTTTTTTTTTTTTTAGCATTGTAAGAATTGCAGTTCCCATCCATCCTTCCTGTCTCCTCCACCTGTTCCTTCCTCCCCAGTGGGGGAAGACCTATGCTGCTATCATTGTCAGTCATTGCCACACAATTTAATCACGTCACTATAGGCTGATGTACTTATTTATTTATCTATTTATTATTTATTACATTGCATTATGTGACACAGTTTCATAGGCTCTGGGATTCCCCCAACCTCTCCCCGTGTCCTCCCCCCATGGTGGATTCCTCCACCTTGTTGCAGTATTATAGTTCAAATTCAATCAAGATTCTTTCATTGCAATGCTGATGTACTCATAACATACATACTTCCCACAGCAAGGATCTGCAAATTGCTAATTCTTGTTTGGCACCAGGGTTCTGACAGGTAAAGTTCTGCTCATTTATTGTAACTAGAGGCAAGCATCCCATGCCGAGTCTACTGGTGTGGGTGCATCTCCTCTCTGACTGATGGACTTTTGGGCAGATGGCACTTTCTCACCATCACAACGTGGATGCAAACGGCCCAGTGTACCTGTCACAGTGCTGTTCCAGGGACGACAGAAAAGTGGAATGGCTAAGTTCTACTGAAGTAAAACAAACAACTCCACCACATATGGCCTGCGTGGTCTTCAGAGCTCCTTTCAGCTTACAGCTCAGGATTTTCTGCAGATTGCCAGCATGTGAAGATCTCAGACACTAGACCAGCCTGATATGAGTTAAAATGTCATTTTGTTCTATTTCAACTCCTCTTTCTTACAGGCCAAAATCACTTGTATCTCTGGGAATTTCTTTGGGTTTCTTCTTCCACGAATTACCTGTATATATCTACCATATATTTCCCATCAGGTGGATTTATTCTTTAATCTATTTGTCAATTTTGACATTCCTTTTGTCATTAAATGCATTGTAGTGGTCTTTCCCAACCCATTATTTTTTTACTAAATAGCAATTTCAGTTGAATCAAAGTTTTAAAACCATCAGCTTTGTCCAGCTTGATTTTGGAGAGAACTGACATCTGTTTCAGACTGACAAACCTGACATGCCTCAAAATTATTCACGTTTAATTTTGCATCTTTCCATCAAATTTTACAAGTTCCTGCATAATGAGCTTACACATTTTGGCTACCTTTTTTTAAAAAAAAAAATTCTCCCCTACTTGTCTTGATATGATGGGGCTATCATGATAGAAGATCACAGACTGAGCAGCTTCAAAGCAGCAGAGAGGCAAGTCCAAGTTCATGACACTGGAGGTTGGGCATCTGGGGGAGGCTCACCTCATGGTTTGTAGGTGGCCACCCTCTTACCTGGTGAAAGGGTCAGGGAACTACTGTTTCATGTGTGACATGGTCATTCACATTCAGGGTGTGTTTCAACTTATATCTAACTGCTCCTTAAGGACCCCACCCCCTAACACCACCATCCTGGTGGTTGGGATTCAATATTTATTCTTGTCATCCATTGTTTAATTTGTGTCTACATTTATTTCCTTAAATGGCTGTTGTTAAATGGAAGTTTGCTTCATTTATGTCATTGAGGCCTAAATGCCATCGATTTTAAAGTCTTTATCCAACTGTCCTTAAAAAAAATCCATTTCACCCAAGGATATTTTAATGCTTGGGGTTTGGTTGTCTTTCTTGGCATATTTTCTTTATGAGTTTTGAAATTCGGATTTTCAGGTTCATTTTTGATCAAAACCACTTAATCTTTATTGAATTTGCTTGTTTTTGAAAATCAGGCAATGAGAGAGATGGGCAGAGAGCTCGCTCCTCATGTGCTGGGGAGTGTTCTAGCATCCATAGTGGCTGGGATTGGGCCAAGCTTTATGGTCTCCTAAGGGTGTTGCGGGGGTAGGGGTCCAACCTCTTGAGCCACCACTGCTGCCTCCCATGCTCTGTATTAATAGGAAGATGAAATTTGGAGTCAAGCTGGGACTCAAACCCAGGCACTCCTGTATGGGATGTGGCCTTTTCCTAAGTAGTGCCATAACCACTCTGCCAAGAGTGCACCAACTGTAGGTTGAGGCTCCTGCCAAGTCACTGTGGAGAGCTACGGGGTTCTCAGGCACTGGCCTAGCAGGCAACACGGTTCATCTGTTGATCAGCATTGGCCAGTTTTGCCTTCTTTCCTATTGTCCATGACAGGACATGATGCCTCAGGTTCGGGCAACAGGCAGTGGAGGTTTTCCAGCTGCCTTTCAAGGTGAGTGTGAATGCTGGGCAGCTCACCTCTTCCTCTGGCCTCAAGCACGGTCACTGGGACCCTATCATCTCTTTCCCCAAGCAGGGAGCACCACAGCCTGGCTGCTGCCTTCAGAACCCAGAGCCTGCACACCATGGCTTCCTCAGGCTATTCATTTAGCAGTTCCATTCTGTTCCCGCTCCTTGGAGCTGTCTGCCTTGTTTCTGAGCCTGACTATGTCTCTTTTCATAGTTAGCTTGTCATAGTAGGGGGTTTGGAGTAGAAGAGACAGACGTACCACAGGGTGAGCTCCTGCTGCCTGCCACCTGTGTCCTGCTGCCGGGGACCAGAGAACTGCCGAACAGCAGGAGTGACTCCATTTTGTTATTTCCTCACTTTGTAATGGTCTTGGAATGCTAGATCCAGTTATCTTTCACCCAGTTTCCTCATAATCTTTCACCTGTAATTGTTCGCCCAAGATAACGGTTGTCCTGGTGACCTCTGCCCTATCTGGCCCACATCCTGCTGTAAAACTCCCCCCACCCAGCCTTTACCTGCGGCTTAAATACTGCCTGAGAAAATAAAGTTTTCGGAGCTTGATCAGACCTCCTGTCTTGCTCCCATTCTTCGTGTCTCCTGTCCCCCCCAATCGTCGGTTCTCTCCCCAGGTCTCCGTTGAAGACCCCGCGGGCCGGGGCATCCTGCTTCTTATTTCCACAGGTGTTTGCTTTTATGTGCCTATAAGAGGAGGGAGGCTGGGGTCGGCGCTGGGCCTTAAGCAGTTATTTAAAAAAGACATAAAGAGTGGAGGGTAGCATTCTCAGATCATTTCTGTTTGTTTGGGCATCTTACATGGCTTGCCTTATTTTGGAAGACCCAATCTCCCCGACTGTGGGCCTAAAGCCAGAAGCAATGGAGACCCATGTGTCTAAATGACACATAAAGACAAAAGTCAATTTGTGTGAAGGCACATTTGAGCCTCAG